AAACACTGTAGAACCACAGCGCCAGGACCTGGGAATGCACACAAGTGATATTTGTGCGCTGAGATCAAAAAGCGTTTACCTTTAGATGTTTCCCTGATATGAATATTCAACATCCTTATTGAAATCTAATTTGGGTCCCCTTGTCTCAGGGGTCTTTTCATCAGTGCCTGTTGCCCGAGGCCAGTACTGATTGACAGCCAAACTTTAGAAAAGAGCAAGCAGGAAAAAAGGGGAGATCTGGTGGTGTTGGAGATGTGAGCGGTGTGAAGCTGGGGAGAGCTGGAACAGATGAGCGGAGGGGTACTGAGAGGGATGGGGGTGGGGGGCCCCGAACAGAATGCATGCACAAACATAATGCTGCAGATTATTTGGAACTATGAGTGAATGTACTAAAGCAGAAGTATTTAACAACATTTCATCATTTCCTGTCTAAAACGCCTTCATCTCCCTCTAACCTTGATGTGAACATACACTTATTGTTTTGTTTGTGGAGGAGGATCAGTTGGTGTTTCTCATTTGCAAAAATGAGGAAAGATCTGTATAAAGCTGGAATGATTAGTCGATTAGTCAGTCGCTAGAAAATTAATCGGCAACTATTTTAGTAATCACTTAACAGTTTTAATCATTTTTCAAGCAGAAACTGCCAAATATTGTCTGATTACAGCTTCTCCAATCTGAGGATTTTCTCTTTTTTACTTGTTTATTTCTAATTCAAAGATGCTGCCTTTGACTCCAGCAAACATAATGGACATTTTTGACTATTTCCTCATATTTTGTACACTAGGCGATGAATCAGTTAACTGAAAAAAAACAACAGATTGTAATGAAAATCATCATCAATTGCACCACTAGATCTGCATATAGCAACTGAATTTGTTTTCATTGTTTTTTGTAACAAACAACTATTCATTCCTGAACTGATATTTCACCTGATCTATCCTCATTGCAAAGTTTACACTTTATGCATAACCAATCATAGTGGATTCAAAATCAGAGCCAGGGATGGAAGTGTTGTATTCAGTTTTGCATGTATCTCCATGTCACATGATCCACTAAGAATCTCAGCTGAATCTGTCAGTCAATTAATCAATTAGTTGATCAACTGAAAATTTATCTGCAACTGTTTTGATTATTTTTAAGCAAAGCTGATGAACATTTTGTGGCTCCAGCTGCTCAGTTTTGAAGAAGTGCCACTTTTCTTTGTCGTATGTGAAGTAAGAGAAGTAAATCGACTATATTTGGGCTGTGGTTGGACAAATTTGAGTGTCACTATTTTCTCACATTCAACTAAATTATTAATCAAGCAAATAATGAGCAGATTGAGCAATAACAAATCAGTTGCAGCCCCAGCAAAAATATTTCAGTGGAATAACATAATTCTTAGACTGGTATGTTTATCAAGACTACAGATAATATAGTAGAGTTCACATTTAACAAAAATACTTGAAATGGTTATGGATGAATTGGAAAGATTTGCCATATGAGAGTATTTCATTTGTTCTCTTCTTGTCTTAAAACAAAGCATCTGACGCTCACTGCCAAAGGCACAGCACCATATTGTTTTCTAAAATTATATTTCTAAACATTTGTTCTGTTATTTGTCTCCGTTTCTGACTAAGGACCTGTGAACTCCAAAACCATTCATTTGGCAAAACAAGAAGGAAAGAAAAAAATTTGTTCTCTTCCTCTGACTGCAGGGGAGAGTTGGTTCTGCAGAGATGGAGTGCGTTTGTGTTTTTGTGTTTCTGGCTTATATAATAACCAATGTTAGAGGCTAAAAACAGCATGAGCTACCCTTCTCCTGGTGTGGCTCTGAAAACGGAAGGCATTGTTAAGAAGGATTCAAACTGAACATACCTATATGTTCAGCGAGCTGCAATGTTAGCTTCACTTAAAAACAGCCATTGTTGGATATGACTTTGTTCTCCACAGACTTTCTATTGCTGCCGGGCCCGAAATAAGATTAAGAAGAACAAATGGCATGTGTGTGTACCCACACATACACACACACACAAACCAACACTGTCCTCATCTGGCCAGTGGGTTGAGCATGGTTGAATGTTATTATTGCGCAGGTGTGGGTCTTGTCCCTCAGGGTTCCATTAAAATGATGCCCCTCTCAATGGCAGCTCCATTTGCTCTTTAGATTTAACACAGGCCATATGTCTAGCAGGAGGCAAACAGCTGATAGGGTTTAATTGACAGAAATCAACATATTTGGTTGTGTGTGTATGTGTGTGTTGGTGTGCTAATGGTCGATGTGCTTTGGCATCAGGGGATCCCTTTAAAGGGTCAATTATGTATCAGAACAGAGTTGGGAATGAAAAGAAAAGAAAAAAGAAGGAGGGCAGCAGAGAAGAGACACAAAGGCTGACAGACAGTGATGTTCGTAGCAAGGAAAGAAGAGGAAATAATAATGGAAACACAGAAAACTGTCGCCAACTCAAAGCACAGTTTAGCATTGCAGGACATAACCCCGCACATCAGTGAGTGAATATATTTCCTTTATTTTGGGGCTGACATTCTTGTCCATTCCAGGAACACTGCTGTGTACAGAGTGTTAGCTTCATGTTTCATCTAGCTTCACAGAGATGCTGCGTCTGACTGCAGTCAAATCATGTAAAATTACCTCTGTCACAGAGCTGATTTAGACTCAGGAGGGGACCCAAAACATATGAGAATGTATCCACTGCCGGGCCCTCAAACTCAATCAAACCAGGCAAGACGCTGAAGTAATGAGATTTGACGTAGCAAACCATTTTATGCTCATTTAACAGAAATATTTCTTGGATACATTTGGAGAACTAGAAGAATGGTTGAAAGTAGTTCTAAGTCATAAGGGATAGCCCAACATTAGGCTAACAGGCGCAACGCAATTAGCACATAAAACCTGTCAATGGCCCTCAATATCACAGCCCTCCAAGGAGTGGCAGACTTATAAAGCCTCCTGATCTATTACTACAAAGTGATTAATCCTCCCCACACAATGACCAGTCTTAAACTGGGCCTCTATATTATTAGGTAGCCCTATATGGCACTTTAGCTTTGCACTAATTAGCATTCAGATCAGGGAGCGGAGAGACAGCCCCTCCACCACAGAGGAAGGACACAGGATGAGATGGCGACACAGTGAAATGTCATTAACTTGATGTTAATTACTAATTAATGGGGCTATTTCATTTACATGTATCTCTGGCTCTCTGATGGGGCCTGCCTTTACTGGGTTACCCTTACCAACCGACAAGTTGGGGGAGGGTTTATCTCCCCGCTCCCCTACACTCCCCTTACAGTGTTTCATCTCTGCTAATTAAATAGTGGGCCACTCATCATGATTATGTCTGCTTTTACAACACCATTTTTTGACAGTGAGAGCACTCCAGTAAGCGACTGACCACTTCTTTAGCACTGTGGCTGTTTTTGTATGAACTGTGCATTAAGAGCCAAACTCCCTGCCAACTCCACTCCACTCCACTGACTTCTATCTGACTTGTTACTTTCACTCACTTGTGACCCCTCCCTTTCTTTTCATTGCCACGCGGCAGCCACAAGCCACCCGTCTCCATGGCAACCTGAGCCGTTCGGTCCCATGAGAAAGAGTGGGTTGGGTTGACTAGCGTCTGGCCATTCACACGTGGGCAGTGCCAGCTAGCCAACATGGCACGCAGCATCCTGCCATATGGTGCCATCGCATACGTCCTGCTGGCCCGGACTCGGGATCTGGGCCTGTAGTGAGCCGATAGTGTGAACAGGACAGACCTGCACTAGAACCTGCTCAACAGCTGATCCACACACAGAATTGGCTATTGATGTACAGATAAATGGTTTTCAGCTTTGTGGTGGAAAACCCCTTTTTCATTCTGGTGTGTAGTGCATGTAGGTGTGTGAAAATGTTAGTGGAATTATGGGTAATATTTACTGTAAGTTGGAAGTCATCTCAATGAAAACTTCAAAAGAGATCTTAAGAGAAGGCCTCCAGTCTACAGACAGAAAATGTGAGTGAAGTGTTTGGAGGCTTGATGGCGCCATGTGCGCTCCTCATCACTGATACTGTGCTGCCTCTCTGTGGCACTACAGCGAAAATACATGCAGACAATGCAGCAGACCGAAAAACACTCATCAATGCTGACAAAATATATTTTTATTCAAAGTTTATATATGATTTTAAATCAACAACATATCTTAAAAGCATTAGAATACTGCATTTTCTTGCAATAATGTTTTTCTCTTTATCATACATATCTTACACATTATTAAAAACTAATTGCCAGAAGGCTTTCAGGAACCTACAGTGAGATATGTTGGTGAACAGAACTCCAGCGAATTATCATGTAAATGTTTACGTTTTACAGGACATCAACACAGTAACTGAGAAAAAGGGACTAGCGATGAACGTAGCTGTAAATAATGCACATCTGCTAAGGCGGGTTAAACATCTGAGGAATGTGTGGCATTGGTTTCCAAAAAAATAAATAAATAAAAATGTTGAAGGCTGATTATTTTTGTAAAGCATTCTTATGTAAATAGATTTAATTGTGTATCTGAAAGATCCAGGCATACACTTTGTGTACAATCACTATAAAACATAGTGTATGTACAAATTCAAAAATGACATGGATATCAGATTTCATTTGTGTAACCACTGACCATGACACTGTAAGAAACATAACAGGCATTTCAGAAATTAGACAAAATGTTCAGCCAAAAGATACACTTCCAAGTGCATTTAGAAAACATCCAAGAAAACATGAGCCTATGTGCCTTTGTATGTAAATAACAATGACAAGTGACACAAAAGCAACTCCTGCAAAACAAGGCAAATATTAGCAATGTGCAATGATCAATGACACTGTGTGACCACAATGAACACATCTTGCAGTTCTCTCATTGCTTTAAATTAGGCACAAAAATAATAAATGCATAGATTTAAAAAGGTACACATGTCAAGTAAGCATCTCAATTGGACGTGAAATGTAAAACAGAAATGCTACAGAAAACAACATTCAGTCAGAACTGTGCAGCTAACTTTCTGTTGCTACAGACTTTGCAGTAAGATTACACCAAATCTTCTCCAGCTCTTCGACTGAACTGAACCCAAGACATGATTTGTAATCCTCTCACCTGCCCTGCAACATTCATTATGACAGTGTGTAACATGGAGACTATGGTTTTTAAAGTTGCCTTAATGAGATAGAGGGTGAAAACACTGTCTGACACCGGCATGACAAGTGAATGGGATTTCTCCTCTACTAACGAGCTCCTTCCCAAATACTGACATCACTTCCTGTCTAGATGCTAGGTAACAATGATGTTAAGTGTGATAATAAGGGTGGAAGTGAATATATGGACAAGTTTCTTTCCAACAATGTCTCCTTAGACTGAAAAGTGCAGGTCAGAAATGAAGAAAAGGTGAGGACAACTATTGGCTTTTCCATACTGCATCAGATTTTGATAACTAACTGATTTTCTATCATCTTACCTGATATGTTACTTTTTCTATTATCTAACCGAATATATTTTTTCTCTCAAAAACATTTTTGAAATGGACAAAAGAAATCAATAAGCCATATAAATATATAAGTTCACAAAATAATTAGGTGAGGTATTTCTATTACATGCAATCACATAGAAATAAAATAAAAATAATTAATAACCTTTGGTCTCCTGACTCCAAAGATATTCTTCAGGACAACAATCAGGGAGAATGTACTCATTCAAAACCGTGTTGCAATAAAGCATGACCCACTCCGAACTGTAAAGATAAGATGAGCTTGTAACCATGGGGATGGGGACCGTAGAAGGTAAATCGTACAGGACATTAGAGTGCCTGCCAAGTAATTAGTGGCTGGGTAATGAGGTGTCACTCAGACAGTTCTCTTAGAGATGGGTGAGTAGGGCATAGTAATAAAAGACTCTAAAGGACTCTCCCTGCGTCAAAAACACCGCCTCCCCCATTCCCGCAGGGTAAGAACCCACCACCTTGGTCTGTCACAGCTGTCAGAGAGCTCCTGAGACTAACACATCCATCATTCTCACAGCTCCTTCGGTACACACACAAAAAAGTGAGCTACTGCTTTTTCGGATAACCATCTCTGCGACGTAACGCATTCTGTAACAAGCGTAAACAGTAGCCAAGCAACTGTGTGACCACCATCCGCTGCACGAGCTGGGATCTGGAGGTAGTTTGGTCCTCCTCCCTGAACTCACACAGCATCCACCGACACAGCTGTGTTTTTGTAGGATTCAACTCGATAAGATTTTTCAGTGACATTGTGCAGACTCTGCTGTGTGCTTTTCAGTAACTGTTGCAGTTCTTCCCTCAACCAGACACGGATCCAATCAAAGTTTCCCCAATGTTATATGCAGGCTTTATCCAAGTGCTGCTCCTTTGGCCAGTTCTCCAACACGGATAATGTCCTAGCTGCTGGTTGCCCAAGGTCACCTCTTCCTTGGGAATAGCACTCTGGTCCGTCTGATGACTAATGATTTAAATGTGAATGTTGTGGTGGCGCACCTTGCTAGAATCAATGTCGACCCGGCGGGCCTCAGCGAAAGCCAGGAAGGTGCAGAGGCCCAGCAGGTTGACTGTGGTGATGAGGGCAAACACAGACGCCCACGAGCCTGTGGCCTCGATGAGATACCCCGAGAAATACACCATTAGGACCCCTGTACAGGAAGACACACATACACACACACAGTCACCATTAATAGCATATTACCACAAAAAGCAGCACACACTAGCTTCCATGTGGTAGTTCAGTTCGGTTTTCCACAGAGGAGGCGTCACAGTCCACTCCACGTCCCTCACAGGACCACTAACTGTCATCCTCTGTTCCCTGTATTATTCATCTGACACAAACTCAATCATGCTCCCTTGATGAAATATGCATCGCATACAGGAGCCATCATGACTGACAGGGGGAGCATCAGCTTAAAGTTTGAATTTAGGGACGTGAATTAATTATTTCACCTGATAGATTGCTAAAGGTAAAAACAATAATTTAGCAGCTGCTGGTGAAAGATTCATCACAGATGTTTGTTCTCAATGTCTCACCTGAGAAAGCACCGCATGTATTCATAACACCTGTAAAAGAAATGCAGATACACACATGTAAAATTGAAAACTTCATTAAAATTTCACAAGTGGTTTAAAAAAAATGATCAGTTAGGTCAGTGCTAAATGGTTTTATATTTATTCAATTTTAAGAAAAAGTTTTCAGTAATTTTGGAAACATTTCTTTAAACTTACCAAATAATGCTCCAGCACAGGAAGGAGCAAGATCTTGGACATTTACAGACACCCCACTGTAAAAGACATGTCATAAACCGCTTTATCTTATATGGCGATAAACTGACTGACTGCATTCTGAATTGCATCAACATGAACCCACTAATCAGCCGGAAAAATCACAGCCATAAAAAGATTAGAACCACATCAGGAGAGAAAATAAATGTCTGTGGCCAGGAAACCTATCATGGGCATCTTATATTCTGTTCCCAGCCTGCAATCATCGACTGTATCTACATTTGTCTTTGCACAAATTGTACAAGTTTGGAACCTGAAAAAAAAAAAAAGAATACTGTATATATGAATTTTCTTTCTGAGGAAGTAAGCTCATTACACTGAGCATCAGTTGGAGACATATTAAAAATATTATGACTAAATCTTAAACATAAGAAGTGTTTTTACAGCACTTATAGTATTAAACAAGTAACTAATAAATATATAATATCATAGCACTATTATATTGTAAAATGACAATATAAAGCAGTGACTAAGAGGAAATAAATATCAGGAATGTGACATGTACTGTATATCAATACAATATTAAAAATCCATATGGGAAAAAAAAGGAAGAAAATTTGAATATAAAATCATGGGCGATATTTACAAGAAAAAATGCATCAGATAAAAAAACACAGCAAACTGAAAGGTCCTGCAGTGTCAGAAGGTCCTGCAACACCACAAACTCATTACTTCCTCATACTTGTGGTCATGGGTTCACATTCTTTGGTTTTATCTACAAGTAGCACCACACCCACAAGTGTTTACCCAGCCTCACTTAGTATGCAATCCTGCACTTATTTTGGCATAAAGTGAAGGACATACACTCACAGTTGAAAGAAGTATTGAGTGTTTTTGGAAATTATTTAGCCATGTTGAGAGTTAAAGTACATATTAATGACCTGTTTTTTTTTTTTTTAGCAGGTATGATCCCTTCCAGGACAAATAAGGAATAACAAGGTCCTGCTTTTTGCAATTTTCCCGAAATGGTTGAAGCAAGGCTGCACGACACAAAGAAATTCAATGAGGCTGCTATGTAGTGCTGTCCGCATAGAGATGGAAATTAATGTAATGGTTTCAAATGGTATCACCAAGTGGAAGCATACAAAGCAGCAATACAAAACATAACATTGACAAACTGACTCTTGGGGAACACCAAAAAAGTTTTTTGTTTCAGGGCCAGAGATCGAGTGTGAGGACATTGTGGGTGCCAGTACCTGTGACTGAAGGTGGTGAGGCCCATGGTGGCAGACACAAATGCTACAGCCCAGGGGAAGGTGGTGTTGCCACACAGAAGAAGGGTAAACACACTGGACACACCCATGGAGAAAAACTAACAGAAGGATGAATGCACACAAAAACACATAAATCAAAATCTTACAGAATTCATTATGTACAAGAGTCAAGAGGACATTCATACACTGTGTATGAGTGGAAGAAAATCCACACAATGAGACTATACAGGTTTACATATACACAGAATAACAAGGCGAGTGTCAAATATTGTACCTGCATCAACTTCCTCACTGAGGCTGTATCAAAGCCTGAGGAGATCAAAAGAGAAATTAATAGGCAGTTATACAGTTATCAATAATAAACTACATTTACAAATGATTCTGATATCAGCTCCTTTGTTGCTGTACCTTGACTGATGAGGTGGTCAGACAGGCAGCCACTGAAGAGGGATGAGGGTATGGCCACAAACCAAGGAATGACATTGAACACCCAACCCTGGAAGGACAACACATTTTTTTTTTGTGTGGGTGAACTTGACCAGAAACTGCAGGGAACTTTGTGTGTTCTGTCATTTTGTTAGGTCGTTTTCATCATCACTTTTCATCTAGTGCCGCCAGCAGGACAAGATTTTTATTGATCCAGTGAAAAACCACATCTTCCGTATAGATTGGCACAATATTATCTACAGACATTCGTGGTTTACAAAAGATCTAGTCATAATGACTTTTCTTCTAGCGCCACCATCAGGTCAAAAATTGTATTTTTCCTGTGCTTTGGTTTATGACCAGCAAAACTAGAAACATTCCCATCAGCCTCAGCTGTATTTATAAGCAAATGTTATCATGCTAAACTAAGATGGTGAACCTGGTAAATGTTATAGTTGCTTAACATGGGCATATTAGCCGCTAGCTTTTGTGAGCAAGTTAGCATTCTGGTTACAAGCAGTTACCCCAGAGCATGGCGGTGCCTGTGTATAGCCTCACAGAGCAAAAGGAATGGCTGTACACTTAGTCTTGTTAAATAAAGGTGTACTCTTTCTTAATCTTAACCCTCATGGCTCCTACAATTCTAATGTAAAATATGGGATCAAGAGGAGGGAGAAAAGGTAGCGTGTTTACCTTCGCATCAGGAAAAGTGTCTTTAAAGAATGTTGGCAGCCACGACAAAAGAGTGAAGAAGGTGCTCGCTGTGCAAAGGTGTGTAACGATCACAGCACTGGTCAAGGAATGATGAGAGACAAACAGTCAAAATAAGTGTATTGCAAATACATTTACATTTACCGAAGGTTGTTTATTAACAAAGACAGCGTCCTATTTGTTTGAGCACCGTCTCGCTGATTTGACAGAAACTTGGTCCTGTACAGCTTGTTTGACATCTATTGTTCTCTTTTCTGAATCATATCTGTGTTAACGCAAGCAGCATGTGGTTGAAAGCATGAAGAGATTGGGAATATTAATCCCAAAGCCATCAAACTACCTTCTGATCTGTTACTCTCAAGGTGGATCAGACACATCAAATAAAACCACAGAGGTTCTTCCTGTCAGAAAATGGAGCATATCAGTTGTATTACAGTATATAAATATCTAAGCCATGGGGAGAGACTGGAAGGACATGGAAGAACTCAATACCAGAGACATTAACAGACAGCAGAGGCAACCAGAGACCCGCTGCTCTCCAATCTGGTACAAATAAAAGCTGGATCTGAGTCCACAGAAACAGCTGTATTACAGAAACTCACATACTAAATTATGATCCGTCAAGACTCAGATACGCTTTTGTACATTTCTACATTCTTCCTCTTAAATTATTCTGCTAAATTTCTAATTTTCTAGATCAGCCACTAACTCATATTTCCACAGTTAAAAAGCACAGGCGATAAAGTGGAATTTCAGAGTTTGGATGTAGCTCTAATACAGCCACAGGGTTATAATAGAACTTCCTGACTCGAGCTCTGCAAACTAGTTGCTCATTCATCTGAAAATGAGAATAAACAAGCAGCTATGCATATGGACGAAAGGGGGGTGCAAAATAAAAGCACACGCACACGCACACACACAGGGGCTTGCAAATGCACTCACACACCCACACGCCTGCACACTTGCTTTATCGTTATCTCACCAGACTGCAGGTTGTTTGAGGAGCCGCAACCAATGTCTCTTGGACAGTTTGGATTGGGGCCCACCACTTCCCAGGGACTCCAGGGTGATGATAGGCCCTGCAAAAACAGATGAGCGCAGGCACGTGGGCATACAAGAGGACACTGACTCCAATTAAACAAATAAGCAGTTACATGATAGGAGCATGCTGTGACACAGCAGATACTGTCAGCACGGTTAAACGGTCCCTTGCCTTCTCCTTTGAGTAGATACTTCCACATGCAGTAGGCCCACATGACCGAGAGGAGACCAGAGACATAGAAAACGCTCTCCCAGCCATACAGGTCCAACATGAGGGAGCCAGCCCCTCCTATCACCAGAGTGCTGAAAAAAAAAAAAGGGTCACAACAAGACATGAGAAGTCACACAAAAACACATCTTTTAACAGCATGTTTCAGCATAGGTAAGTGCTTGATTAGGGACATACATGGCATGATGTGAGCCTAAAAAATAAGTCTCAGTATAATAAAACTGTCAACATCTGGTTACAGCTATAAAATTAATATTTCTAATCGTTAAAAGGTATTAGAAGTGTTTGTGGGATCCCAACAGTGATATTGTAGCGAGAAACATTCGTCCCATTCCCACGATTGCCTGTTTATTACGTAACGCTTGACTCACCCCAGGTAGGAGCCACTACCCACGGTGCTCATGAGGAAGCCTCTCTCACTTTCCACCACCTTTTGAGAGCAGAGACTCGCGAGAGAAGGGTAATGAACTCCTAAGATCATGACAGAAAACACATTCAGACAATGTCCCAAACCGAGCGGCAGTGAGAGCAGGATTTTTAACCACCTCATCACACAAAACAAACATATGAATCTGAGGGGAAATGGAGTTTTTGCGCAATACAAATAACATGGCAGATTATTAAGCAGGTGCTGAATTAATTGTCATCCAGAAATAGCAGAACCTGTGTTTTTGTAACAAGAGCTTGCTTCCAAAAATAAAGACAAAGACACACCTAAATCAACCCCGCCTATGTAGACCATTCATCTGTGATCACAAGCAAGACAAACAAATGCCAAAGTAATGATGGTGAATGGCAACAATGCTGTAATTTATACTGCCACCAACAGAGGTCTATAAATGTCATATGGTTACTGAATAATTGCGATAAATGCATGGTCATCAGTTTCCTCTTTAGATAACATGCAAATTTAAAATGTTTTTCATTTTACAGTCCAAACAGTCTTGAGCAAAAGGCCTGAGACGCAACATAAAAACTAGGCTGCAGATCAAAGTGAGCAGAACCTGGTATTCCCTGCTGTGATCAAACTTGAAGTATGAAAAAGTTCAATAATTTGACAGTGTTTTCAATTTCAATTTGTTGTCTTTCCAGTGAATACAAGCAAAACACGTCAGTTTTTAGCTCTTGCAGGGCTTTAAAGAAAATGGGTTTCATGAGAGAATGTAAATCAAAGTATCAAATAAGAGACATTTAATCGTTAAAGATCAAGAAATGCGCTTAACTGACTAGGATTTTTATCATGCGTCTGTGCGCTTTCATGTTGTCTGCCTGTATCTAATTACCCAACACAGATAGTAAGATGTAGGATATAGAGCTGCGTAGGAAATGACATTGCAACCAAACTGTTTCTTGTGAATACGTGTTATAACAAGTTGTCGTGCTCCTTGTAAGTTTAAGACCATTTATTTTATTCATTTGATGGGTGACAAGTGTGATTTTTTGAAATCAATCAATCAATCTGACAGTTACTGGGAGCGAGGAACTAAGACCCATGGGAGAACTAAAACAGCAGACTTTTTGAATAAGTTGAATAATTTTGTCCTTCCAGACCTTGAAAAAGGTGTAGACCAATCTCTGGAAAGAGCAATTATATTTCATCACCGACCTAATCTGAAGTTGTGATCGATTCTGGCGCGCTACCCATCTCACCTTGTAACAGGCCCATGAGGAAGCGGGCCAGTGTCATGGAGAGGATTGGCTGGGAACAGAAGTGGGCCAGGATGGGGGTGAAGGCTGTCATCGACCCCCAGGCTGCCGCAGACAGCAGGAGGACCTTCTCACCTCCCACCCTGTAAACACAGAATACAGACAGAGTGCATTAGCTTTGAGAGGACACTTCACTTTGATATCTTGAGGACTTGTCATACTAGTGAAAGTACATAATCAGCTCTTTGTGGCAGTGTGTGCCTACAAGAGTTAACACAGAGAAAAAATGTATTCACTACTTTATCTGTCCAGAGTGAGCAAAAATAACTGGGCTGTTTTGCATCATTGCCAGTAATGTTTTCATGAAAATGACTCTTGATGAGCTGGAAGCTAAAACAGGTGCCAACTGAAAACCAGTGTCACTGTCAACATTCATAATCACAGCAGACATCTGTGCAGACAAAACAAAGAATTCCATGCCCTCAAACCGCTATTATCTCACAACACAACAAAAACTTTTCCCACCGGTCGCTGACGTAGCCTCCGAACACTTGGGTGAAGCAGTAGCCCCAGAAAAAGCTGCCGAGCACCATGCCAGACTCCCTCTTGGTCCAGCTGAACTGCTCTGCCATGCTGACGGCGCAGATGGGCATCGCCACACGGGCGCAGTAGAGGAGGCATGTCCCAAGCAGCAGCACCACCGTCCATACCCTCGCCACTGGCCTGCACAGGAGGAGGATGGATTGAGTTATTTGAGTTTGGTTGAACAAAGGCAACATGTGGGGACAAACTTTGGACTTCAAAAGTTGACAGGGGATTGCTTATGTAACTGGGGGGGGGGGTTACTTTGCTCAGTTTGGTTGCCCACCATTCAGTATTGGTTTAAATGGCAGTTTTACATCTTTAGTCTCTAATAGCAATAACATTTTATGATCATTTCTTTTTCATAAAGGAAGTGGGACTTACTTCCTTCTTTATAAAGCGTGTGGCCTATGTAGCAATGTAACTACATCTTAAGAGCATTGAACCATGAAACGCCATGGATGATACGTGTCATTTCACCCCCAGATACAGAGGCACTTCAGCTACAACCAGCCCCTGTCTCCGTATTGCTGAGGCAGGACCTTAAGGGTTATAGGGCAAAGAGTTACTTAGAAGTACCAATATTGATTTAGGTTCTTATTTGGGAGCCACCTGGGGAGATTTGTTAGGCTGCTGAGTTGCTAAGACATGTGTAAACACGACAAACTGTCAGCACTGTTGAATGTACACGTATCTTGTAGGGGTTAAAAAAGATATTACCTTGGCCAGTTGGTGTTGTGTTCAGCCCACTTCTTGTGACATCCAGGGGCTCCGATCTTATCAGACGGATGGTTTTCCTTGTGACAGACCAAATCTGGACTATAGTTCTTGCCATATTTTTGAATAACTGCCATTCAACGAGAGGTAACGGCAGCCTCCTTCCAACCGCTTCGGCTATTTACTTTCAATCTCTTCCCCCGCCGTCGATCAGTCAGTGAGAAAAGTAAACGTATAGAGAAAGACCAGCCTTCTTACAAAGTATTTGCACAATCATATCTCGGATTCACGTCATTTAAATCCATAACGTGAAGGACTGGACTAACAGGGACAACAGGCGACGGTTCGCGGAACTGAGCTAGAGGAGGGAGACTGTTTTTCCTGATGCCCTAGGAGGAGTAATCCACGTGTCAGTTTTTCTCCCCAGCCTCCTCCAGCCAGCCACGCAGTTCTTCTTCTGATCGGTAGGGTTCATCAGGAAGTGATTTAGTCTTTTTCAAACCAGTCTTAAGCTGCCTAGTCAGCCGTTTCAGCCATTACTGTATCACACAACACACCAGAGAGACACCTCTGGCTGCGCCCCCCACCCACCCCCACCCTTCTTTCCAATCATGACGGTGCAATACAGAAGATGTACCAGTGACTCGTCTATGGGAGCATCGTTAGAGCAGCAGGACGTGCTGTCCTTACTGACCTGCCCTTGCCGGATGAAGACGTGATAGTGCCCGTGCTGAGAAGAAGCTGCTGCTGCTGCTGCTGCTGCTGCTGCTGCTGGGAGCAGATATGCGCAGTGCCTACAAGGCTGTTTTTAATGGTCCGTCTGCCCCTGGCTGTTTGAGTTAGCAGGCAATCGTTACATAATACTCTGCATTCAACACAACTTTTAACAGCCCCCCCTTACAGTGTGTGGTGGTAGAAGAAGTACCCACGTCCTTAAGTTAAAGTAGCACCACAATGTAAAATCCTGCATTGTACAGTAGCAAGGGAAAGTAAGTGAACCCCCTGGAGTTACTTCCCTCCTAAAAAAATATGGTCAGACCTTTATCCAATTATGAACAAACGCAATCTATTTTAACTGATAGCAATGGCATTAACAATCAAACCTGGAGTCCAATCAATGAAACCAGATTGGAGGTGTGGGTTAGAGCAACTTTGATGTGTAAAAGAAATACTTAAACATTTTGAGTTTGCTATTCACAAGAAACATGCTGATGTGAACTATTCCTCCCAAAACAAGAGGTCTCAGAAGACTTATGATCAAGAATTGTTGATTTGCATAAAGCTGAAAGGGTTTAGATATTCATCAGTCCACAATCAGATGAACTGTCTATAAATGGAGACGATTTGGTTCTGTGACTATTCTCCCTTGAAGTGGGCCCCCAGCTAAGATGACTCCAAAAGCACAACGCAGAATGATCAGTAACGTGACAAAGAACGTCAGAGTAATTAAAACCTTATTGGAGCTGGTTAAAATCTCTGTTCACAAGTCTAACATTCGCAAAAAAATTAAAAAATATATCACATACATGCCTGAGGTTTGCCAAAGAGCAGTTTGACACTCTACAACACCACTGGGAGAATGTTTTATGGACTGATGAAACTAAAGTTGAATTGTCTGGGAAGAACATGCAGCACTAAAGGGAATGGCATACCAACATGAAAACATCATCCCAAAGCTGAAGTACAGTGGAGGGAGCATCAAGATTGGGGGCTTTGCTGTCTCTGAGCCTGGACAGCTTGCCATCATCGAGGAGAAAATGAATTGCCAAGTTTATCAAGGTATCTTACAGGATAATGTCAGGGTGGCTGTCCACCTGCTGGAGCTCAGTAGAATCTGGGTGAGGCAACAGGACAATGACCCTAAACATCAAAATATATCTACCACAGAATGACTTCAAACAAAGAAAATCCACCTGTTGACGTGGCCCAATTAGAGCCCAGAGAAAGACTGCGAAATGACCTGAAAGCTGAGCCGCTCACACCAGACATCCTAAGAATATGGCTGAGCTGAAGCACTTCTGTATGATGGATGGTTCAAAATTCCTCCTGAACACTGTGCAGGTCTGATCCGCAGCTACAGAAAACACTAGTTTGAGGTTATTGGTGCCAAAGGAGGTTTGACCAGTTGTTAAATCCAGGGGGTTCACTTACTCTTTCCACTAGCACCATGAATGTTTAATGGCTGTGTTTACTCAAGATACAAAAGAGTATAATTTATTATGTAATATTAGCGTAGGGACACTATGTCTATATTTGTGACTTAGACGGAGATCAGATGAAATTTTATGACCAATATTTTCAGAAAACCAGGTCATTCCAAAGGGTTCTCATACTTTTTCTTGTCACAATATAAGTAATAAATGTAATAATAAGGGCATAGTCATGCTGATTGTAGTTGGTTTGTGCCTCATTCTATTGGTTTTGTATTTCCTTGTGGTCATTTTGTGACTTTTAACTGAGATCTATGACTTTCAAACAAGAAATCTTTCCATTCATAGAAAACCTGCCTGCACACTGACAAAAAAGTGAAAGGGACCAAAGCTGCATGATGAATGCACAAACAAACATTCTGTTACACAGGTTTAGTGTGTGTGCAGATGGAATGAAGATGTTGATGAAGAAGTGAAGAGCATATTGTACACTTGTGGTCAGGCCACAGAAAAGCAAGCATGTGGGGTCTTCAAGTATAGCTTATGATGATGCCATGACAATATTATGGTGTAGTGCAAGTGAAATGTTTGTGGCTGCAGGAGTCAATACTTTACAAACCATTCTAAGAAATTTCATTTATTTTCCAGCTTAGTGACTCTGAAAATAAAATCACTCTGGCTTATCAAACATGAGGTTTAGTACTACATACCACCAATCCCAGCTGTGGAGGCACTAGGACAGTTGATTTATACTACATTAAAACCATGTTGTTTTATGGTGCTTTTGTAATTAATATATTCTATGTCTTTTATCTGGAATCCTGAGTTTGTAATGAAGTGTGATTGATTGATTGATTGTCACTAGTTCCTTTACATGAAAAACAGTTGATAACCTTACAAAATATAATGCAGTTACAGTGGAAATATCCAACAGTATGAGAAGTCCTTTAAACTAGCTCCACCTACACCAGTTACTACAGTAAAATACTACCTACACATTAATGCATCAGTGATGTTTTTGTTTGTTTGTTTAGTGAGATCACAGTGACCTTGACCTTAGCCCACCAAAATTGAATCAGTTCACCTTTGAGTCCAAGTGAATGTTTGTGCCAAATCTGAAATTCCCTCAAGGTGTTATTGAGATATTGCGTTCATGAGAATATGACTTCAAAATTGTACGTAAGTGCATGTACTTAATTTCAGGGTTACTTAATGGACTGACTTTGAAATTTGCAGAATTAAAAACACATCAAGCTTTGAAGTCCTTTATGACTTGCCCAGTTTAAAAATTCACTTTTATTGCAAAATAATATACCAGCAAAAAAAAAAAAGCACATCAAATTTTGCAAAAGAGCTACTTATTCCATACATGTAAATAATCCATCTGTAAAAGTATCTCCATGTCTGTGGACATAGATTTATCCATTCACATCTTTTAATATGATCTGTGATATTTTATAACAATATGAAACTGCGGCTGCCTTTAAGCTTGCACAGTCACTGAACGCTGCAAAGTCTATAGCACTCCCGGAATCTTGTCTTGTCTTACCTGTTCATTGCTACCGTGATGTATAGTTGAAAGTTAATTCTTGTCTTTGTTATTGTTGAATCTTTTTGTAATGTTTTAAACAATAATGCAATATGATTCCAAAGTTGAATTTAACTTTCAAAGTCACAGTATTCTCAAATATCCCAAGTATATTGTTTTGGCTATTGCCGTTACATAGAGTACTAGCTAAGAGGCTACTAGCTGAAATGTGTATGTTTTGTAAGGAAAAAGTATGTTCATTTGAGGCAGTGCACACTCAGCCAACCATTTTCCCTGAACATCAAACCCCTTCTAAGTGGTCAGACAGAAAGTGACAGCCTAATTTAGGCTTTATTCACTTCCTCCTATGCCAACAACTTTCCCTGCCAACAGACAGAAAAACTAGTGTAACTGAAAATACTAATTTTACATAAACAAATATGTAAATTATAATACCAAGTAAAATAATGGTATGCGTGTTATTTTAGTGTGAGGTCATTTTAAGATGCCATCAATCCAGTTTGCACATTCTACTTTACTGAAGTATCAAAAAGCAACCCTTACAAAAAGAAAAGGTTGTACTCTACATGAGTCAGTTTGTTGGGGTATAAATAGATAAAGGAAATGTGTCCATTTTATAATGCTGTGTTATGTTTTCACTGTGGGTCCTTATTTTGGGTCTTCGATGGTTCCTTTGCTGAGGTCTGTCATTTTGGGATACTTCACTTTCTTTTGGTCAAGTTCATTTTGAGCCCACAGCAGTAGTTTCAGGAGCTTGGCCAGCTTGGGTGTTGACTCTCTGTTTTCATAATCTAGCACACACTGATTCACTTCACTCCACACCTGAAAGACAGAGGCACATACATGTTATTGCTTTGAATACTTTCACTATTGTGAACTTCACTACAGTGGATCATAGTTAATATGTTGCACTTTCATTAGGTTGTGGGACTCACAAGAGATAGTTTTAAGATAAAATTACCACCTCGTGGTTACATGCCTCTGCTAACCAGTCCAGTTGCTCTTTGTTTTCCAGTTGCATGCATGTTCCTGATATATTGTGATCACAAGAACATGAGTCCACTGTGACCTCAACTTTTGACTATCAAAATATAATCAGTTCATCATTCACATCCAAATTTGAAGAAATTCCCTTAAGACATTAGTGGTTTCGTGTTCAGGAGAATGGGACGTACAGACACACAACCCAGAAACATAATGTTTCTGGCCACGACTGTAGCCAGCACAGAGGGATAAAAAGGAGCAGGCTGAGACATCCTGACCTTTGGTCCCCTATATGGGTCACGAACAGTTGATACTACAATTCCCATAATTCAACACAATAACGTCATTCATCTAATCCTTCCGGTTTGGTAAATGCCCACATCGTTCATCGTACTCCAAATCCAAAATTTGTAACACAACCCTTCTGTCCAAAATTGAAAATCTCAAGCCCAATCCGAGATAACCCTGTTGACATCATCAGTGTTATTTTCTCAGACTATAAAAGCTCCCTTTAGAATTATAGAAAATTAGAAACAGCTGTTTTCATAGGATGAGTATTGCTCCTTCTGACAACAAAATAAATCAGGGAATTCATATGTAATTGATTTGATAATTAAGAAAATTAAAATCACATGAAAAATGTTGACGTGGTTGAAAAACCATCCTAAAACTACAGCATAATTTTTAAGTAATCTATTCCAAGTGAGATGTGAATATATAAAGCATATTAGTGAAAAAGAAGGGCGAAGTTCAAGACAAAAGTAGTAGGGATTTTAATAATACACTTTGACTCTACCTTTTGTCTCTGCATCATATTGAGCAGATCTCCGAAAGGTGACTCCTCGGGGTTGTCAAATGCCAGCAGGGCCAGAGTCCTCTCCATCTCGGTCAGACATTCACGGCTCTCCTCCCCCTGCTCTGCTAACTGAGACTGGGCAAATTCCAGGGCAGCTTCAGTCTCCCTCAAACGAATCAGCTCGATCAGATGCTGCTGCTGCAAACACACACATACAGAACAAAAGTAAGACGTACAGTACAATTGACATTTCCAAAAGTACAAAGCCGAGGTGTCTGCACTGTGTTTTACTTTACCTGTAGGTGAAAGTAGAGGTAACGGTTGGTATCCAGCAGTTCTGGGTGCAGACTGTTGATCAGTGCAATGGCATCCTGGATCTGTCCCTTCAGGATCATCTCTCTGATTTTAATTCTTTCATCTAGGGAATCCAAATCCACACTTGGTTCTATTCCAGACTCCATCCTGAACTTCTCCGCTGCCTCCTTGAAGCCCTCTATTGAACAAAAACCGTGATGAAATCCTGCGCATTCCACATTCAAATACCACGCTCAAATTATCTTTATACACAACTTAGAGCGAACTTTACGTAATAAAAAAAAGATCCTTCACCTGTCACCAAGTAGTTCATAATGAGCCTGTTCATATCAGCCCTCTGAATGTGGACATTGTTGAGTTTATCCATCCACTCTTCCCTTGTTATATCCTCCGGCTTCTCTGCATAACTCATTATGATAATATCCTAAAGGAGTAGAGAATGGTTATCTTGTCAGTTAACAAAATTACATTTTAAACTCACGGTAAGAACAATTATATAACGTTATAACTGTTTCGGCAATTTGTTATTCAATTTGACAGCAACACGGCACCGGAAATCCTAAGTCACAACATTTGGGGCCTTCGATGAAAAACACAACATTGAAGCCTGAATTTCGTCAACACGAATGAAAACAAAGACAACTTCCGCCTTTCTATGCATTTATATCGAACACAAACATCCGGAACGAGTGCTGTTCTATTTTATTGTCTTCTGTAGGTATGCATCTACAACGCCAATCAAATATAATGGTTACTTTATTCACAATACCTGAAAATTTTGTTGCTACTTCCCAGCAGTAGCTAGCTAGCTAGCGGAGGGGAGCCTCTTTTGCTTCTTCTTCTTCTTCTTCCTCTGCGCATTTCCGGGACCGTAAACTACATGCTATGTGCACACCACTGCCCCCTACAGTAAGACAATTGTGTGACTATTTGAGATCTGGCAATTTTTTTCTACTTGTATATTCCTTTTATGTTATTTTGGTGTGTCAACATTTTAAACCTGTTGGTATTTTTCCTTTCAACAATAACTATTTTTTTTATTATTGTCTATATGTAATTGATGTTTTTAATGTACCCTGTGGATAAACTGAAAACATCTTTCTTTGACGGTATGATTGTGTTTTGAACAGGAATCCTTACTTGAACTGTACAGCACTGAGTTTGTCATTGTACTTACTTACTTAAAATGATACAATATTAATAATATTGTATAAAAAATGAATGCAGACAGACAATAGAAATAGACAACAGAAGCTTGCAGCAATAGGTATGACATGACAAACCCCGCCTCCCTTCTGTGGCTACCCTGTTTACTGTTTCTATGGTAACGATGTTGTTAACTTCAGTCTCAGGAGTCTTTTCAGAGGTTAAACCGAATAAACTGACATCCACTGTTAATTATCAAACTAAACCGAGCAGATATTGAATGAGCGAACAGGTAAAACGATAGGTACCCTGTTGTTATCCACTGCAAATAACTTTTGAGATTATTACCACAGTTTGTTCGGGTCAAATGTTACCAACTGAAAATTAGCCTAGCGTTACCTTGGTTAACTTACAACAGCTGTAGTTTAGCTGTAATTTAACTTTTTTTTCGTTTCTGGTTCTTTTCAGGTGCTTTTTGCCAGACATGGCTTCCTCCCCCGGAGTTTTCAAAATTATGTCACAGTTTCCAGTCCTTCCCCCCATTGAAGGCACGCAGCAGCAGCAGCAGCAGCAGCGGGGAGAGGTTGAGCAGATCGCAGCAGCAAAGGTGGAGATAGCGGAGAGGATATCGGCTCAAAAGAAGCTGCTGAGGCACAGAAGGAGTAAAGTGCAACAAGAGAAACTACATGTGATATTGTATGTTTTTTGTCAGTACCTCATTGATAGCCAGGATTATGGTAGAATAATCCCACCAGCTAATTTAGACAGTTTGTCATTATGATGGCTGCTGGGTTTCCTGCAGTGTAACACTTTATTGACTGACTTATTACAGGATGTCTAGAGCAATGGAAAGTTACAGACAGAGCAAGGAGAGGAGAGCAGAGCCCAGCCAGTCACCAGAGCCACAGTTTCCACCCTCAGTATGACAATTATTGGACTTCCTATGCAAACATTTTAAATATCAATTTATATCCAAAGATATTGCACAATATAATGTGGTATATCTCAATACTTGCTTTACAGATGCTTAGTGAGGAGCGGAAGCGTAGGGTGAGTTCTCTATTTAGTTTTAAATTTGTCAAGAGATCAAACCATATTTATATTTATGTAACTCCATTTGCAGATGAATTATGTGTTCCTGAGGCAGTGTTTGGAGAGCCGCCCATTCACTCCAATCCAGCAGCAGTGGTTGGACTCCATTGTTTCCAGAGTCCCACCGAAACTTAAAGATAGCCCTGAGACAAATAAACTGCTACAGGAGCTCTGCGTGGAAGTCAGCAATGACTTCCGCAATGTTATTGTCAAGCACACAGGTATTGCCAATTATTATCTCTTATCCTATCTATTCCTCTGGAGTATATGTAGACTACAGGTGGGGCATGTCTCATTATGCCATATTTACTCCCTTTAGTGGACACAGTACTAAGGAATCCGCAGATAGAGGGATCTATCTCAGAAAAACAGACAGCTACCCAAACAAAGTGAGTTTCTTAAGTACAGAAATGCTAATACAAAGTAACCAAATAGTAGATAGATCTATTTTAATGCATTTTGTAAAATGTATTTCCAATCTTTTGTAGAATTCTTGATTTTTCCCAGCCTTGGCATGATTGCTTTATCAGAAGCCGGAAGATGATAAAAACAAATTTGCACATTCTTCATCCGGTGATGAAAACTGTCTTGGACATTGGCCACATGACATTTTCTCCACTGATCCTGGTTGATGTTTCACGATGCAGGTGAGAAAAGACAACATGAATGCAACATGGTACTGTTTAAAATAAACACACAACTAAGACGTTACATTAGGATTTGCTCAATTTTCATTTTGATTTCATTTTGGCTTCTGTTGGTTCAGGGCTTCAGGACCGGTGGATTGTAAGAGCCTACAGAATAAAATGGCTGTGATGTGTAAGAGGACGGAGGATCGTATCATGAATACCTGGTTCCCCAAAGTCATCCACTTACTTACAAGTAAAGAAACCCTGAAAGGAGTTAAAGAGGAGAAATTGGACTCCTTCTATGATTGTGCATCCACGCTCATCTCCAATCAGGTGAGATAATGCTGATTTTAGACTTGGGAAGAGTCAGTTTTGAAATGATTTAAGGTAAAGTTATTTCATTCATTATTGACATCAAAAACAGTCCTTAGTTATATTAATAACAGCCAGCTGTCATACATTAAAAAATAGCTAAAGACACCTTGAATTGTCAAGGTTTTGTATCTTTACTGCTGCTTATTGTAAACTAAATTGGTCAAGGAAGTTTGTAAGCTGTAATAGCTGTAGTTAGCTCTTTGTACAAACCGCATGTCAACAACTAGCCATTATTATGATTTTCTGTATGTTTACTGTAGCGCTCTTTGTTCCTCGATTACACATATAGACTAACAGACATTTTTCTTTTGTAAATTCCCAGTTGAAATCCCTTCTTCAGAAAAGTGTTGAGGAGTTTGTTAGTCTGTTTGATCCAAGCCATCACCACCGGTTGCCCCTCTTCCGTATGGCCTTGACATTTGATGATGAAAAGATGGAAATTTACCCCACCTTACAAGACCTGGAGGCTGCTGTTTTTGAGATTCTCAATGCCATCACAAATACACTGCAGGTGAAGTTATGTGTAATCACCACAAAAGGGAAAATGACCACTTTATGACATATTTTTCATGTAAAATTGTATTTTTTAGCTAATATTGATATCTATGAATTTGCTCCACAGAAAGTACAGACGGTCCAGTCATGGTTAACACAAGCCACATCTTCATTTGTGGATGCTAAGGTGGCTGATCACATCCTTGCTTGGGCTCAGGCCACTTTAAAGGCCGCTGTGCGCAAGAATCTCGAAGAACCTGACAAACATTTCCAGAGTTACGGTAATGTTGCATAATGCAGTCATTTCCTATCATCACACCATTGACCGTAATTCACTTCACTGCTGACGTTTCTGCTTTATTTTGCAGTCGACAACTACGACTGGCTAGTCAATGGTAGTGCTCAGACTCGAGTGGAGATGTTCATGAGAGAGGAGCACTCTTTTGATGAGTACACTAAGGTAACAAATAATAAAGTTTAATTCATGCTTGATATGTTATATACCCTCCTTGTTTCCAGTTTTCCTAATGACTGTCATTGTATAATCTCACTGCTTTTGAAGCAAGTGGAGGAGTTTCGTGCTCTGTCAAAGGAGATTATCAGCCTCCCAGCAAAAGCCCACTTCACAATGGTCCATCTGGACTGTGAAGAACTGAAACAAGGGCTGGCCAACAAAGCCAAAACGTATGCAGAAATACTTCTGAAGAAAATGATCACCAGCCACCGTGAGCGAAATCTACAGTGAGTCACTTCTTGTAACATTCATATACAAAACTGTTTTTAAATCTTCACATTTGATTGATTGATTGATTGATTGACTTTATTGTCCACCTCAGTGAAAATTTGTCTTTGGCTTCTCCCAAAGAAGGTACAATTTTGATGTATGTGATGTTTAATACTTTTTGTGTCTGTTCAAAGGATCTGCTCTGAATTTGAAACTATCAGAGAGAAAGCTCTGAAGGTTCCAGAGAATACAGAGGACATGACTCAAATGGTTGACTACATAAATTTCACTAAGACGACAGGTATTGCAGAACTGAATGAAAAAATAAAGGTAAACAACCTAATGATTGGTTCTACATGTTGCAATATACATATATTAAAAACATATAATGATTTATCTCATACCAATTATGATATACAAAACATCATTCATGACCACATTGTTTTCTGACAGGACGCCTTCTGCAGGGTGATCTACCTCTTAGATGTCCAGATCATTGAGCCAGAGGATCTGGAACTTAATTCGACTGTCTTTCTCTGGCCAAAAAACATCCACCATTTCTTCGAACTTAATGAAGAGGTGATGATCTCATGTCTGCCTATAACAATATATCATGGATGTTTTTTAAGGATGACCTGATTCTAGGCAACTTTTTCATTTTCTAGGTGATGCAGACAGCCAAGCAGAAAGGGGAGCAGGAGCTGCTGGCTAAAAGAGAAAGATTAATGGTACATTTGGAGAAGTTGGGACGCAGAACAGAGCAGTTCCCACACTGCTCTGAGCTGGATATGATGCAGCAGGTACAGTGTCATTAGCGTGTTCAGATAACCTTAAAGGAATAGATTAACATTTTGGGAAGCAAAAAAGCATTTTTCCAAAATGTCAACCTATTACTACGGTATTAACGAACTAGAACTGAAATTACTTGGAGGGATATCTATTCATATTAAAATATGCCTTTCAGTGCTTACTAGTGTCAGTACAAGTGATCAGAATTGTACAAAAGCATCATTAGATGTTTTTATCTCTTGAGCTTGAATTTTGACACATTTATTAAACCTGAATAACAAGACTGCATTATCTTGTCAAATAGCCACTGATCTGGATCATTGGTATAACAAGTTTTAAAAATAGTTGTAGTGGAAGGCTGTTCCGCATTAATCAGATACATTGTTGCAGTTAGATGTTCATTTTTGCTACTTTTGGATCAGAACACATTTTCAGAGCACCAGTGATTCATATATGCAGATATAATTGTCTTGTTATCATTTTTTGGGCAGTATGTTTCAGATGTCAGAACAGTTCAGAAACTTCTCCAGGATGCTAAGGACACAATTGACTTCATTAACAAAGAAGAGGCCTTCTACAAATGGGACCAAACATGTTACCCAGAAGTTGAAGTCATTAGAGAGAACATTGAACCGTACCAGAAGCTGTTTGGATTTGTACTGAAGTGGCAGCGCACGGAGAACAGGTCTAACTGCAGTTTGATACATGTTGTGTTTTAATGAAAAAAAAAAATCCCCTGATAACCTTTTATCTTCTTTGTGCATAGATGGATGGATGGGTGCTTCCAAGACCTAGATGGCGAGAGCATGGAGGTAAAAGTGGATGAGTTCTTTAGGGAGATTTTCAAGATGCTGAAGTTTTTCCAACAGAAACAGAATAAGGCCGAGCAAGAGATGGAGAAGATTGCTGGGAAGACTAGGCGACGACCTAGTGAAGACAATCCAAGGAAGCAAGAGAACCCCATAATACTTTTGTGCTCCGCTGTAATGGAGCAGATCAAAGAGTTCAAGGTATTGTATGTAACTATTACTTCAAAGGGACTCATTAACAAAGCCTTGTAGTAAATAGTTTTGTGTACAGATGCTAAAAAATTATGTGGAATGTGCTTGTATCAACAGGACCATATCCCTGTAGTGTCCATCTTGTGTAATCCAGGCATCAGAGCCCGCCACTGGGGCCAGATGTCAAACATAGTGGGGTATGACCTCACTCCTCACTCTGGTACTACACTACGAAAAGTTCTCAAACAAAACCTGAATCCTTACCTGGAAGAGTTTGAGTCAATCAGCGCTGCTGCTAGTAAAGTGAGAGCTCTTGAAATTTGTGTTTGTTTATATAGCATTTGAAAAAAACACCAATACCGAATCTTTATGTTTAATGCTATATATCCACACTATGTGTCTCTACAGGAGTTTTCCTTGGAGAAGGCAATGCAAACCATGGTGCATATTTGGGATGGTATTTCTTTCCACCACCAACCTTACAGGGAGACAGGAGTGTCTATCCTGACTGCCTTGGATGAGATTCAGACAATGCTAGATGACCAGATTGTGAAGACTCAGACTATGAGGGGCTCACCATTCATCAAACCCTTTGAAAATGAGATCAAGGTTAGCTTCAGGTTTTGGGGAATGTACTTACCTAATTATAATAAATAAATGTGTAATTAGCATCAGAGTTCTGCTGTATTTCTATACCCAGTCCCGGAGAGCTTTAACTGTTTGTTGTTTGACGTCAGCTTTGGGAGGAGCGTCTGCTTCGTATTCAGGAAACCATAGATGAGTGGCTGAGGGTGCAGGCCCAGTGGCTTTACTTGGAGCCCATCTTCTCATCCCAGGACATAATGCAGCAGATTCCGGAAGAGGGACGACTTTTCCAAACTGTTGACAAAAACTGGAAAGAGGTCATGAGTCACTGCGTTAAGGACCCTAAGGTACTTATCAAAACACTTATTAAAGATCACCTAAATAAAAAATCTGAAAGATACATTGTTTGAGTCAACCATTAATTTGTAATCGTAGATTCTGCCAGCAACATCGCTGCCTGGTCTGCTAGAAAAACTTCAAGATTCCAACAACCTCCTCGATAGCATCATGAAAGGACTGAATGCCTACCTGGAGAAGAAACGTCTCTTTTTTCCACGGTAAACAACAAGATTTTGCTGTGTCTCTTTTGTTCAACTCTTTTTTAATATCATAGATTTCAGTACTTGTTGTCAATGCCTTGTCCAGGTTCTTCTTTTTGTCCAATGATGAAATGCTGGAGATTCTGTCTGAGACCAAGGACCCACTGCGAGTACAGCCCCATCTGAAGAAGTGCTTTGAGGGCATTTCCAAACTGGACTTCCTCCCCAATCTGGATATCCAGGCAAGGCACATATTGATATTGTTACATGACACTATGGTTGATGAACTTTCATTAAACTGCGTACTTTTCATGCCCAGGCCATGTATAGCAGTGAAGGGGAGCGAGTTCAACTAATCCAGCACATCTCCACATCTGAAGCCAAAGGAGCCGTGGAAAAGTGGTTGGTGCAGGTGGAGGATATGATGCTTCGCAGTGTCAGAGATGTAGTGGCCCGGTCCAGGGTGGTGAGATCACTGTTCTCCATACCTTACATACAGTATATATAAATGTGAGTGAGTGACATCTGAGTGGTTGAGTGTGGTTGTTTTGACAGGCTTATGCTGAGACTGCGCGAAGCCAGTGGGTCAAGGACTGGCCTGGGCAGGTGGTGCTTTGCACCTCCCAGATTTTCTGGACATTGGAGGTGCATGAAGCCATTAGATCAGGGACTGAAGTGAGTTTTTACATCGCTTTTTCTGAAAGATTTTGCTGTGATGATTCCTAGTTAAAATCAAATTTTCATTTACTAATTAAACTGTAATAGTGTTACAGTAGTGAATTTGATCGTGTCAGGGTGCAAAGTAAAGATGTGTCTCACTCCTGACTGACTGACCTGAATTTTTCTCTAGATTAGCATGGCACCTTAACGGTATCACCCTGGGAAAACATTTAAATAGTAACTGGGCTTTTGTTCTCTGTAGGGTTTAAAGAACTACTATCAGCAACTCCAGAATCAGCTGAAGGACATTGTGGAGCTGGTGAGAGGGAAACTGCCCAAACAAACACGGATCACTTTGGGAGCACTGGTCACAATTGATGTCCATGCCAGGGATGTGGTCATGGAGCTTATTGATAAAGGTACCTCACTGAATAAAATACAGAGTAAAAGAGTTTTACTTCAGCACCCACAGTGGCACCCAGAAAGAGAATGTTTGTCAAATAAAATAATTGTTTCCATTTTTAACAGGTGTATCACATGAAACCGACTTCCAGTGGCTAGCCCAGCTGCGTTATTACTGGAGCAATGATAATGTTCGTGTTCGCATAATCAACTGTGATGTTAAATACGCCTATGAGTACTTGGGGAACTCACCACGTCTGGTCATCACTCCACTGACTGACAGATGCTACCGAACCCTGGTAAAATGTCTGAAAAATAGCCTACTTAAAAAATGCCACATGCCTCTTACTTTTATTGAAATACTGCTGAGTGATCATGTATTTTAACATTAAATTCCAAAGTCCTATCTTTGTTTTAGATTGGAGCTTTCTACCTGAATTTGGGTGGTGCACCTGAGGGTCCCGCTGGAACCGGAAAGACTGAAACCACCAAAGATCTGGCCAAAGCTCTAGCTGTGCAGTGTGTGGTCTTCAATTGCTCTGATGGACTGGATTACATCGCTATGGGCAAAGTAACATGAGCAGGAAATTTTTAATTTATATGTATAATTCTAATGCCATAGTTATAACTCCAAAAATATGACATTTTTCCTTGTATTTTGGTGTAATCTCACAGTTTTTTAAAGGTCTGGCTTCATCAGGTGCATGGGCATGCTTTGATGAGTTCAACCGTATTGAGCTGGAGGTGCTGTCTGTAGTGGCCCAGCAGGTGCTCTGCATCCAGAGGGCCGTCGAGCAGAAGCTGGAGTACTTTGACTTTGAAGGGACTATGCTCAAACTCAATCCCAACTGCTTTGTGTCCATAACAATGAACCCCGGCTACGCAGGACGCTCAGAACTCCCAGACAACCTCAAGGTCTTTTACTAGTGAAATATTTTATTAGACATTGTTGGTGTTATGAACACATTAGCTCTAACATATTCTTCATCATTTATAATATGAATCAGCTTCTCAGATAATTTCAGTTGGCTTTTAACATCAAATCATGCTCTGTGATAATGCTTTTAAACGCCTTCAATATAATGTTACACAATATTAGAAAATGTCCTACACTCCAAGATTGGCAGTAACAGATTAACTTAATTTTCCTGTCTCCTCTCTGTGCAGGTGTTGTTCCGAACAGTGGCCATGATGGTCCCCAACTACGCACTGATAGCAGAAATCTCCCTGTATTCATATGGCTTCCTCAATGCCAAACCACTGTCTGTAAAGATTGTGATGACCTACAGGCTCTGTTCTGAGCAGCTCTCATCCCAGTTCCATTATGATTACGGAATGAGGGCTGTCAAAGCTGTACTTGTGGCTGCAGGAAACCTCAAGCTCAAGTTTCCTGATGAGAATGAGGACATACTGGTATTTGTATTGAATCAATGCATTTGTTAAACATTTTTCCATACGGTATCCTAACTTTTGGGAACTTTTTAAGTTTGCTCTTTCTGACCCTTTCACTTTTTTTCCCACATGTTGTAACTCTCAGCTCCTGAGGTCCATAAAGGATGTTAATGAGCCCAAGTTTCTCTCCCATGATATACCACTATTCAATGGGATCACCAGTGATTTGTTCCCAGGCATCTCCCTCCCTGAAGCTGACTATCAGGTTAGATATGTTGATGTCATTACTTATTACTAAATCTGAGAGCACCTGGTGTTTTTAAATATTGTATTGTATATTATAATCAGTGTTTTTTCATATCTTTGGCAGCTGTTTCTAGAGGCTGCTACAGAGTGCTGTAAAAATCACAACATACAACCAACAGAAGTCTTCTTACAAAAGATGATTCAGACATATGAGATGATGATAGTCAGGCATGGGTATGTTGTATTTCAATTTCCCATGTTACCATACTCTTAGATCATGCTTACCATGTTTCCAGTAATACAGTATTTCACATGATTGAGACATTTTTTTAATGTCAGTTTCATGCTGGTGGGAGAGCCCTTTGCTGGAAAGACCAAAGTGCTGCACGTGCTAGCTGATACTCTAACTCTCATGAACGAGAGAGGGTATGGTGAAGAAGAGAAGATCATCTTCAGGACATTGAATCCAAAGTCCATCACCATGGGACAGCTCTTTGGACAGTTTGATCTAGTTTCTCATGAGGTAGGCCTGTGCCTTGGATCCTGTTGTATTTATCCTGTCACACAGATCCTCTGGATTTCACAGTACTGATGTAGACCTGGAACAACAGATGTCCCTTTTTTCCTCTTAGTCTTTTCACCTTTTGTTTTTCCTAATTTTTAGTGGACAGATGGGATTGTGGCCAACACATTCCGTGAATTTGCATCAGCTGAAACACCAGACCGTAAATGGGTGGTGTTTGATGGTCCCATAGATACACTGTGGATTGAGAGCATGAACACTGTGCTGGATGACAACAAAAAGGTAAAAAAAAAAAAAAAAATACAGTAAAACCATTTAATATTGTGGTATTTCTGAGTTTTGTGCAATGTTTATTTGCTTACACATTATGAGTAAGATCTTTATTGCTTTACTCTTCCCTCACAGTTGTGTCTGATGAGTGGTGAGATCATCCAGATGTCCAGTCAGATGAGTCTGATTTTTGAAGCAATGGATCTATCACAGGCCTCTGTAAGTCAGATGTTCAGAGTAAAGTATATTATTTTCTGACTAATGTATTTTAGTTCTGATTTGATTATCCCATTGTAAGGTTTAGCGGTTACTGGTGCATTGCTAGAGGGCACCAACATACACCAACATGATGGCGAAGAACATTTGATTCTAACTAGGGTAGAATCAAACCATTATTACAGTTTGTCCAGCAGAGAGCAGTGACAAGCTGAATTGCCACTGTAACATGTATAGCTCAGTATGTACTGTATCTTGGTCACAATTTTAAAAATGTTACCTTACATGTTATGTTTATAAGCAAAAAAACATATACATATATATATATATATATATATATATATCTTACATCACATATAATATCACCTACTAATATAACATTGACCAATCTTTTATAAACTCACAAATATTGATCAGTATGAGGCTGAAAAACCCAGTACTGGTCGCTGGGCTATAGTACCTAGATTGAGTAACAGGATATGATTGGATATTATAAAAAGGTCATGTTTGGTTATTTTCTCACTGCAGCCTGCCACAGTCAGCCGATGTGGTATGATCTACATGGAGCCATCTCAGTTGGGCTGGGAACCCTTAGTGATCTCCTGGTTGAACTCTCTTCCTGATGCTCTGCAGAGCCCAAACAACTGCTCCCTGCTGCTGGAGCTCTTCCACTGGCTCCTGCCACCTGCCCTCAGGATGCTGCGTAAACACTGCAGAGTAAGCGATTCCAGTGCCCTGAACAATCCACGCACAAATATCTGTAGAACATTTCGAAGTTTATGTTTATTTATATACAAAACACAGAAGTTTTGTCATGCCTGATTACGGTTTTGTTTGCAGGAGGTTGTTCCCACTAGCAACAGTAACACTGTGATGTCCTTGTGTCGACTGTTTGAGATGCTGCTCACTGAACCTGTAAAGACATATCCTGGGGATAAAAATATTCGCAGCTGGATCATGGTAAAAGAGCCGAATCATTTATTATTTTAAATAATATTATACCTTATTAATTTAGAACAATTTCTTTGGAACTGCACCTCACAACATCCATGCAACGTTTAACTGTTTTGGTCTGTTTCGGTTAAATTATACTTTCGTATGACCCCTTTTAATTCTTCACGATCGCAGGCAGCTTTTGGCTTCTCCCTGGTGTGGTCTGTGGGTGGCAGCTGTGATGCAGACAGCAGAGAGAAGTTCAGTGAGTTCTTCAGGGTGGCTGTTTCAGGAAAAACAGAAGAATACCCAATCCCTGCCACTGTGGGAAAATGGGAGTGTCCCATGGATGACAAAGGCCTGGTGTATGACTATTTTTATGAGGTATTGCATAATTTCATCACTCAGATCTATTTCAGTTGTGTTTAAAACAGTAAATCAGACTCTAATCTCTTATACAGTTCAATGGAAAAGGCCGCTGGATTCAATGGAATGATCTCATTAAGAATGTCAACCTAGGGGACAAGAACACCAAAGTGCAAGAGATCATTGTTCCCACCATAGACACTGTCCGTTACACCTACCTCTTGGACCTCTGCATCAGCTACAGAGTGTTAGTATTTTCAGGGGTCAAAATGGCAATGATCAACATGAATGCCAAAAGTGCTTTATCACCATAAATAACTGTGAATTCTATCTGTGCTACATGTACTGTTATTTTCTTATTATTACTGATTTTATTGATTCACATTCAATCTAACAAATTTGATTTTTTGCATTTTTTATTACTCTGCTCAGGCCTCTTCTGTTTGTTGGTACTACTGGCACTGGAAAGTCAGTGTATGTGAAGGACAAATTGATGAACAATCTGGACAAAGACCTATATTTACCCTTTTTCATCAATTTTTCAGCCCGCACTACTGCCAACCAAACCCAGGTAAGCACTTAGGAACCATGGATGAAAGAATCTTCTTGGAGGAATTTTTTGATTACGAGAAAAATATTCTCAGTCATAAATATTATGTGATGTGATAATCTATACAAACAAGAATGGATAATTCTATTAATTTTCTATCCTTTATTCTGTATGTATGTCATTCTTCAGAATATCATCATGTCCAGGTTAGATAAGAGAAGGAAGGGGGTGTTTGGGCCCCCCATGGGAAAGAAGTGTGTCATCTTTGTGGATGACATGAATATGCCTGCACTGGAACAGTTTGGAGCACAGCCTCCTGTGGAGCTTCTTCGACAGTACATGGACCACGGAAACTGGTATGGACCATCCACTATTACCAATTTCACATTAAGACAAGCGCAAGATATAACAGAAAAGAGCACATTTACTGTTCATTTGACAGACAGACCTTACCTGTTACACTCTGTTAGGTATGATCTGAAGGATACCTCCAAGATCACTCTTGTTGACCTCCAGCTCGTCTCAGCTATGGGTCCCCCTGGTGGTGGGAGGAATGCAGTTACATCTCGCTTTCTGCGCCATTTCAACATTTTTAGCATTAATCCCTTCAGTGATGACACCATGGTTCGCATCTTCTCCAGTGTGGTGTCCTTCTATCTCAAAAATAACCAATTCCCACCTGAATGTTTCACTATTGGCAACCAAATAGTGACAGCTACCATGGAAGTGAGTGCCCAAAAGACACACCTTGATATCACATGAATTGTTTATATGTGATAAATAAATATGTTTTTCATGTGTTAAATGCTCTTAGTAATCATATCTTGTTTTCTCTAATGTTTTAGTTCTCTGATCATATGTTTTTCATTCCCAAAGGTATATAAAAAAGCCATGAAGAACCTGCTTCCAACTCCAGCCAAGTCTCACTACACCTTCAACCTGCGGGACTTCTCACGCATTATCCAAGGCTGCCTGTTGCTGAAGAAGGAGTCTCTGGAGAACAAACGTACTATGATACGCTTGTTTGTCCACGAGGTCTTCCGTGTCTACTATGACCGGCTGGTGGATGACAAAGATCGAGCATGGCTCTACCAGCTGATGAACAGCATCCTCAAAGATCACTTCAAAGAGTCCTTTGATCAGGTGTTTGATCACCTAAAACAAGGCCGTAAAGTAAGTTGCAACTGAGTTATTTTTTCTCTATTGTCATGTGCTTTACTATTACAGTGTTTCACCGTATGTTAGTAGACATAGGAAAGAAGAGGAGCTGCTCTGCCCTGTTGCCACTCCTGTTGCTGCTCCGGATCTAAATACGTTTTTGAATTAATTTTTATATAACTATTATATCAATTTTATACTAGCATATGAAACATTAATAACTGTATTTGTGCTCTACTAATACAAAATATGTACTTATTTTTAAAAAAAGAAAAAATCTAAATGCTTTATTTTGTAGCATCAAATTTCTTCCTTTCTCAGCTGGTTGAGGAAGACATGCGGAATCTTCTGTTTGGTGACTATATGAACCCTGACTTGGAGGATGATGAGCGCCTGTATGCTGAGGTGCCTTCAATGGAAAGCTTTGCTCAGGTGGTGACGTCGTGTCTTGATGAATACAACCAGATGCACAAAAATCGCATGAACCTTGTCATCTTCCGGTAAACAGCTTTGATACTATAGATGAAGAATTTTTCTTGTTGTAAGAAAGTCAAGATTTTTCGACTGAACATAACCAAATGACTTCAACTTTTATGAAGTAAATTCATGAAATTATTTACATATGTTCAAGTCAGTCTTGAACTGAGAAAATGTCTGCATTATGTAGCTACGTCCTAGAACACCTGTCCCGTATCAGCCGTGTGTTAAAGCAGCCAGGAGGCAATGCCCTGCTTGTGGGAGTGGGAGGCAGTGGACGCCAGTCCATCACCCGTCTGGCTACGTCCATGGCCCACATGACCATGTTCCAGCCTGAGATCTCTAAGAGCTATGGCATGACTGAGTGGAGAGATGATCTTAAGGTTAGCTTTATGGTTTAGGAAATACTTCTGTGTGTTATTCTGGTGCATTACATGTTTTTTCACACTGTTTTGATTTCTGCTTGTGATTTTTTTCCATTTCCAAACAGCTGTGATTTTTCTCACATACATTTTTAACATCACAATACTCTGTCTCCCTGTTTTCCCTTATACTACAGATGCTGCTGAAAAATGCTGGGGTGAAAGGTCAGAAGACGGTGTTCTTGCTAACTGACGCTCAGATCAAAGATGAGGCTTTTCTAGAAGATGTGGACAGTGTCCTGAACACAGGAGAAGTGCCCAATCTGTTTGCCATAGATGAGAAGCAAGAGATTATGGAGGTAGGCTCTTATAAGCCTTTATAGAGCAATTTATACCTTGTGTAAAGGTCCTATTTATTTATATTGAATATAACTGTTACTTCATCTCTTGTTCTACAGGCAGTACGCCCCATTGCCCAGGCTGGTAATAAGAATTTGGAGTTGAGCCCACTGACTCTGTTTGCATTCTTTGTTGCACGCTGCAAAGAGAACCTGCATATTATTGTGGCCTTCAGTCCCATTGGGGATGCCTTTCGAAATCGCCTGCGCCAGTTTCCATCTCTTATCAACTGCTGTACCATCGACTGGTTCCAGGTAGTATATAGGCATTAGGAGGCATTCATTTGTAATTTATCTGCAGTGAAATATACTGCATATGCAGTGCCAGGCATTAAAAATGCTAAAAACTATGTACTGCATGTATCTGTGTTTCAATCAGTCAGTCAAAGTTACTCACCCCTCGCTATTCTTCTCCTCTCTCTGCCCTGACAGCCATGGCCAGAGGAGGCTCTTGAGCGAGTAGCCAACTCCTTTCTGGAGTCGCTGGAGATGAGTGAAAATGAGAGGCAGCAGGTCATACCTATCTGCAAAACATTCCATACCTCTGCCAAACAGCTCTCACAGAGGTAAGGCATGTGGTTATTTATGACTTGTATATTCAAAGATATATTACATTTATATTACGCTATTGCTTTCATTGCAGATTCCTCTTGGAGCTTGGCCGCCATAATTATGTGACACCCACATCCTACCTGGAGCTGATAGCAGCTTTCCGTCTGCTACTCACTCAGAAAAGAGACACTGTCATGAAGGCTAAACAGAGGTATACCAACGGTCTGGATAAACTAGCCTTCGCTGAATCTCAGGTATATGCAGCCCCATTTTTACCCGAGTTGATTTGTTTTTTGTCCTTTTTTTTTTTTTTTTCTTTAATCAAAAACTTTAAGCATACCTCAGCCATAAGCTATTTTTAACAATGTCTCCCTGTAGGTGGGTGAGATGAAAAAAGAACTGGTAGACCTACAGCCCAAGCTGGAGCAGGCAAAAATAGACAACACGAAAATGATGAAGGTGAATAAATCACAGCTTTATTCAGCCCCAACATTGACTAGAGTATATCCTGAATGCAAATATGTAGTAAATATTTATATATTGTATAATGTGATGACTTTCAGGTTATTGAAGTGGAGTCTGTGGAGGTAGAAGCCAAAAGCAAAGTTGTGCGTGTTGATGAAGAGGCAGCAACTATAAAAGCCAATGAGGCTCAGGCTCTGAAGAACGAGTGTGAGAGCGACTTGGCTGAGGCTATCCCTGCCCTGGAAGCTGCTCTCTCTGCCTTGGACACTTTGAAGGTGAGCACCCTTCAGCCGCACTGCTTTTTTTCTTTTTTTTTTTCCAGGTTTAGGCACTCAGACCATTGCAGTTTAGAAAGTAAGTTGACCTGCTTGTTTCATTTCAGCCCTCTGATGTCACAATTGTGAAGTCGATGAAAAATCCACCTTCAGGGGTGAAGCTGGTGATGTCAGCTGTGTGTGTTATGAAGGACATAAAGCCAGATAAGATAGCTGACCCAGCTGGGTCTGGAAAAAAGGTTGGATAAGGAAAAATACATTTTATTTTAAAAGCTCATCGTAACAAAAACATTGTTACTAACCCTAACATTACAACTTGTACTAATATCCTGATGAGTACCATTTTTTTTTTTTTTTATTGTCTAGGTTTTGGACTATTGGGGTCCAAGCAAGAAGCTACTGGGGGATATGAACTTCTTACGAGATCTTAGAGAATATGACAAGGACAATATTCCTGTGAGTGTCAGGAAAACTACATTCCTATTCCTATGAAATGACATACTAGTATTTTGTTATGACTGACTGTGCTATCTTTTACTTGCAGGTCCCTGTGATGCAAAAAATCCGTAGTGAGTACATGACTAATCCTGACTTTGACCCCAGTATAGTGGCAAAAGCCTCCTCTGCAGCAGAGGGCCTGTGCAAGTGGATAAAAGCAATGGAGGTGTATGACAGGGTGGCAAAGGTGCAGTGTTTCTGGATTTGCATAGACTTTTTTTCTCATGATCTATCCTGATAACATATGCATGCTTATGTATACACATCCTTTGTTTTCAACCACTCTCTGTGGTTTTAGGTTGTGGCTCCTAAAAAGGCCAATCTTGCAGAGGCCCAGGAGTCCCTGGCTGCTACCATGGCCCTGCTGGACCAGAAAAGAGCCGAGCTAAAGGAGGTCGAGGACCGTTTAGCTGCTCTTCAAAAAACTTTTGAGGAGAAGACAGAGGAGAAGGCTCAGCTGGAATTCCAAGTGGATTTGTGTGCCAGGAAGTTGGAGAGGGCTGAGAAACTCATTGGTGGTCTGGGTGGAGAGAAGACCAGGTGACGATGCACAAAAATATATAAAGTTAATTATTTTCTCCAATTAAGATAATTACAGTATTCCACTGACTGAAATCATGTTTGTCTTTAGATGGTCTAAGGCAGCAGATGACTTGCAGAACACATATGACAACCTGACTGGTGATGTTCTCATCTCTGCTGGTGTCATCGCCTACCTTGGGGCTTTCACTGCTGGCTTCAGACAGGACTGCACCAAGTTATGGACCAAACTCTGCCAAGTAAGAGTCCTCAGTTTTTTATTTAGACTTTTTTAGGTACTCTCTTTGAAGTCATACACATTTCATTGCTCATTATCTATTTTCACCTATCTCAAAATCTCTAGTCTAAGAACATTCCATCATCAGATGACTTCTCTCTCAGTAATACCCTGGGAGATCTGATTAAAATCAGGGCTTGGAACATTGCAGGCCTTCCCAGTGACTCTTTCTCTATTGACAATGGTGTCATTGTCAGTAATTCACGTAGATGGTGAGTCTATATTGCTCAAATGTTTTTGGAGAAGTTTTAAATCTACTTTCTACTGAAACATTTGTCACAAACATTCAGTTTTTTGTTAAATAAGAGTAAAACTGGCAGTAAATATGTACAGTTCAACCTAAGATTCATCTCATCATTAATGTTTGTCTTATTGTAGGCCCTTGATGATTGACCCTCAGGGCCAGGCCAACAAGTGGGTGAAGAATTCAGAGAAAGACAACAACCTGAGTGTAATCAAACTGACAGACGCGGACTACATGAGAACTTTGGAAAACTGTATTCAATTTGGAACACCACTGCTGCTGGAAAATGTGGGAGAGGAGCTAGACCCTTCACTAGAACCACTGCTGCTCAAACAAACCTTCAAACAAGGTGCGGAGAGTGTGATATGACTGCCAAAGACTTCTCTACAATTTGGAACTGTGAAAATTGTAAGTTCAGTCATTTTTGTTTCACCCAGGCGGTGTGGATTGCATCAGGCTGGGGGAGAGTGTGATTGAGTACTCCTGTGATTTCCGTTTCTACATCACCACAAAGCTGAGGAATCCTCACTACCTGCCAGAACTGGCCACCAAGGTGTCGCTGCTCAATTTCATGATCACCCCAGAAGGCCTGGAGGACCAGCTGCTGGGGATTGTGGTTGCCAAGGAGAGGTAGTGCCCATAAAATAGTCACTTTGGTATTCCACTGAAATACTACCTGTCGCCTGTGTAGAGCATTGTTTCTGCTTTATTTGCTCCACAGGCCAGAACTGGAGGAGGAGAGAAATGCACTAATCCTGCAGTCGGCTGCCAATAAGAGGCAGCTGAAGGAAATTGAGGATAAAATCCTTGAAACTCTGCAGTCTTCTGAGGGAAATATCCTGGAGGATGAGAGTGCCATACAGATTCTGGACTCCGCTAAAATCATGTCCAATGAGATTACCAAGAAACAGCAGGTGTGGACCACGCACAAAAAAAGAGATGTGCATGTGACAAATCTGATATTTTGTAATCTAAGTTCTTACTGTTTACACATTTCCCAGATTGCAGAAAAGACAGAGATCAAAATAGCAGAGTCCAGAGAGGGATACAGAGCCATTGCCAAGCACTCTTCCATCCTGTTCTTCAGCATTGCTGATCTGACCAACATAGATCCCATGTACCAGTACTCTCTGAGCTGGTTTGTCAACCTCTACATTAATTCTATACAAGACAGGTGAGTGATGCACATCACTGCAGTGTCGCAAAAGAGATAATGCATTGAGACGAATCTGCTAAGACTTTATGACTGTACCAGCATTTTGGAGAAGATTGTTCTCCATCTGTTGTATGTATTGTAAACAGAAGCTTGAATATCACACAGGAGTCGCACATTTGATAAAGAGGATTATTACAGCAACTTACTTGATTCGATTTGGATGTCAGGCTCAGTTCTTGCCTCAGTCAGAATTTTAGTCAAAATTAGATATTTGTGTCAGTGCTCATGGTTATTGCTGAATGCCTTTTAACTCAAATCACTGAAGACATGCAACACTGTTTATGATTAATGACAGAGTGAAAGTATTCCTATACACTAGGTGCATGGGAAATGTAACTTCTTTATTTTGTGGCGCTTTAGATGTGCCCCGTACACACAGAAAATATGTTTTTTTTTTACTATAACATCACAATTAGTAGTTGTAGATATCTTAAAATAGAATATGTTTCACTCTACTGTAAGCATAATTGTGGGACTAACTAGTGGCTAGTGGAGACTGAGAGTAGACGGTACTCTGTCAGCAAATATTGAGCTACATTTGTACAACTGTACGCTGACGTCTGATGTAAACTTAAGCATTGGTTTACTTGAACTTTCAGTTGCTATGTGTTCATCTCAAGCTTCTTGTGTTGTGTCTTTTATTCATCAGTAACAAGTCTAAGATCCTGGAGAGGAGGCTTCGATACCTGATCGATCACTTCACCTATAACCTGTACTGCAACGTCTGTCGCTCTCTGTTTGAGAAGGATAAACTCCTCTTCTCCTTCCTCCTCTGCTGCAATCTACTCCTGTAAGTGTTAAAGCTGCTCTGGGACACTAGTTTAATTAATTTGGTTTGTAGGATTTGATTTCAGCCTTTAACCAAGTTCTCAAATGAAAATATAAAATGCGAATTTTACATCATGGTATCTTCTACTGATATTTGCATTCAGAGCAAAAGAAGAGATTGAATACTCTGACTTCATGTTCTTGCTGACTGGAGGAGTGGGCCTGCAGAACACCATTGCTAACCCCGACCCCAGCTGGCTACAGGACAAGAGCTGGGATGAGATCTGTCGAGCCAGTGAGCTGCCCGGCTTACAAGGAATAAAGTAAAATGCATCATTCACTCAACCAAAGACTTTCTTTTTCATTAGTTATGTCTGTCCCGTTTGTCATTATGAATTATTTTTGACCAATGGATTGAATCTGGGTGTTATCTATTCCACAGAGAGGCTTTCATCAAGAGTCCAGCGGACTTCAAGCCTATTTATGACAGCAAAGAGCCATGCGACATTCTTCTGCCCACACCATGGTGTGAACAACTCAATGACCTGCAGAAAATTATCATTGTTCGCTGTCTGAGGCCTGATAAAATAGTGCCAGCTGTGACTAAATATGTGACTGGCAAACTGGGGAAGAAATTTGTACAGCCCCCTCCCTTTGACCTGAGCAAGAGCTACCTGGACTCCAACTCCGCCATCCCTCTCGTGTTTGTCCTGTCTCCAGGAGCTGATCCCATGGCTAGTACGTCCCACCTTACCAATTACAGTCAATGTTTCATATGATGCTACCCATGAAAATCATTAGAAATAACAATATCCCTCCATAGGCTTACTGAAGTTTGCCAGTGACAAGAACATGGGCAGTGCCAAGTTCCAGTCAATCTCTCTGGGACAGGGCCAGGGCCCCATCGCTGCTAAAATGATATCCACAGCCATGCAGGATGGGACATGGGTGTGTTTACAGAATTGTCATCTGGCTGTTTCCTGGATGTCCACCCTAGAGAAAATCTGTGAGGACTTAAGTCCAGAAACGTGCCACCCTGACTTCCGCCTTTGGCTTACAAGCTACCCTTCACCCAAGGTTGAGAACTGTTCATTTCATTCTGAGCATGTGCATGCATTGAGAACTAAGATTTAATCTTGTTTAAGTAATATCTTTCTGATATCAGTTTCCAGTTACCATCCTGCAGAATGGGGTGAAAATGACAAACGAGCCTCCCACAGGACTCAGACTCAACCTACTTCAGTCTTACTTGTCAGATCCTGTTTCTGACCCTAACTTCTTCAATAACTGCACCAATAAGGAGCTGGTGAGCTCATTTTCATTTTGTTTACATCATGAATTTTTTTATTTGATAGGTCTATCACACAGAGGACATTTTCTGACTCCTTGATGTCTCCGCTAGATCTGGGAAAAGCTCCTGTATGGACTGTGCTTCTTCCATGCTCTTGTTCAGGAGAGAAAGAAGTTTGGTCCACTGGGCTGGAATATTCCCTATGGCTTCAATGAGTCTGACCTCCGTATAAGCATCAGACAGCTACAGGTATTCATTCAGAGGTTCAGTGGCTGAGTTTCTACCATCACAACAATCTAAAATGCACTTAATTTCTTTTCCTCTTTAGCTGTTTGTGAACGAATATGATGAGGTGCCCTTCGAGGCCATAACGTATCTGACCGGGGAGTGCAACTATGGTGGCCGTGTGACAGACGACTGGGATAGGCGGCTCTTGATGACCATCTTGGCAGATTTCTACAACAAGGATGTCATTGAGAAACCTCGCTACCCTTTCTCACCTAGTGGCGAATACTTTGCCCCACCTAAATCTATCTTTGAAGACTACATTGAATTCATCAAGGTAAGAACACTTGAGATAACACACATCAAGAGGATAAAATGTTTTTTGTTTGTTTTCTATTATGTACGTATATAATGACTTTCAACAGAGTAACAATACCTTTGTTGTGTTCTAGCAACTTCCATTCAGCCAGCATCCAGAGGTGTTTGGGATGCATGAAAATGTGGACATTTCTAAAGATCTCCAGCAGACGAAGCTGCTGTTTGATTCACTGCTACTCACCCAGGGAGGTGGTGCTAAGGGAGGTAGTAGCTCTGGGGGTGACAACACGCTGTACGATATAGCGAATGACATCCTTACCCAGGTATAAACTAGTAGCATCTCCTCTTCATTTAGCTGTTTTTAGACTCACTGGTGGCCATGCTAGTGGCTATGTCTGTTGCCCACCTTTTTGGTCCAGACCAAAATATCTCAGCAACTATCTTGTGGATTGACATGAGATTTTGTGCAGACTTTCATGGTCCCTAGGGTATGAGTCATACTGGCTTTGTTGATCTCCTCACTTTTCCTTTAGTGTCACCAGCAGGTCAGGTTTCACTTATCCCATGAAATATCTCAACATCTACCTGATGACTTGGCAAAATATTTTGTATAGACATTGATAGTTCACATAGTTCATAGTTCAGTGACTCCTTAATGACTTTGGTGAGCCCATGACATGTCCTCTAGCACCACCATGAGATAGACAGTTGCAGTTTGGTGTGAAATGTCTCAACAACTACAGACAGACATTGATGTCACCCTCATGACTGTCCTTAAACCTCATTTGTAAATGTTAGCATGCTAGCACCACTGTGAGCATGTTAGTATGCTGAAGTTAGCATTTATCTTGAAGCACCGGTGAGCATACGTACCACCTCACAGGGCTGTAAACCACTGTTATTACACATACGTAAATACTTTTGTTTATCTTGTATAAGATATCTAAAGAGCATGTTATTATAGCCCTGATGTGAGATGAGGAACTTTTACGTGTGATTTTCCCATCATTTTAATCTTGTAGTATTTGATTTAACAGACATATTTTCTAAGATTTGGGTTTGTTTTTTTGAAGAAAATACACAGGGCACCAGTGCAGATTTCTGGTAAAGAATTTCTAATTTGTGTTTGTTACCTCAACTATAATCTGTACATTCTCCATTGAATACTTGTAACTAGCAGGCTTGTTTTTTTCTATAGCTTCCAGCTAATTTTGACACAGAAGCAGCTCTCCTGAAGTTCCCTGTGCGCTATGAGGAGAGTATGAACACTGTGCTCGTCCAAGAAATGGAGCGCTACAACACGTATGGCAAAACAGTTCAGTGCAGAACTTTAGGAAGTACAGCACATCACTTATTTTATGACTTAACTGCTGCTTCTCTCTCTCTCTCTCTCTCTCTCTCTCTCTCTCTCTCTCTCTCTCTCTCTTTCTCTCTCTCTATCAGGCTGTGTAGTGCAATCCGTGTGAGTCTACAGAACCTGCTGAAGGCCATTAAGGGTTTTGTGGTGATGGATGCAGAGCTGGAGGCAGTTGCAGGCAGTCTGACGGTGGGAAAGGTCCCAGAAAAATGGGCCAAGTGCTCTTACCCCAGCCTCAAACCCTTGGGCAGCTATGTTTCTGACTTTCTCTCTAGACTGAAGTTTTTGCAGGTGAGACTGCCTCACAAAGATCATTTCGTTCAGCGAGGGACACTATTATTTTTGATTGAGGACTGGAAAATGCATTGTATGCTTGAGTATAATTCAATGTGACCTTGTTCAGTTTTTTACTCATCTTATATTTTCATTTTTACTTTGTGTGTCTGTAGCAATGGTATGACACCTGTAAGCCTAACGTGTTCTGGCTGTCAGGCTTCTTCTTCACCCAGGCCTTTCTAACTGGGGCTATGCAGAACTACGCCAGGAAATACCATGTCCCCATTGACCTGCTAGGTTTTGATTTTGAGGTCAAATGACACACACTTCATGATCCTTTGTCTCCACCTCAAAGATCTTCTCATAGCCCTAACAGTACGCTGATGAGTTTTGTTTTTATGATCTTACAGGTTCTTCCTATCAATGAGTCAGACACATCACCTGAGGATGGTGTTTATATTAATGGATTGTTTCTGGACGGAGCTCGATGGGACACAGGGAGGTAGGTGTTCACACTACATAGATGTTTACATATTTTTAGAATAATAGTTATTATGATTGTGAAATACAAGGAGACTGGATAAACCTTACCTATTGTTTGTCTCTCTATCATCAGTGGAGTTCTGGCTGAGCAGCACCCCAAAATCCTATTTGACTTCATGCCAATCATCTGGATAAAACCTAGTAAGTATTAGTTTACTTTGTATACAGCCAATGTATGGCAAATGAAATTAATTCCATTTACATTTGTCTATTTGCCTTTGTGTTTTCTTTGTTTCTTTGTTTCTCTCCCATGCAGATCAAAAGAAGAGCATCGACCAGCCTCAAAAACTGTATGTTTGCCCTCTCTACAAGACCAGTGAGAGGAAGGGCACCCTCTCTACCACAGGTCACTCCACCAATTTTGTCATTTCCATGATGTTGCTCACCAGCAGGCCCCCTCAACATTGGATCAAGCGCGGTGTGGCCATGCTCTGCCAGCTGGATGACTGAATTGGTCGACACACTGTTGAAGACTGAGGCACTTTTCTGTGGCACATAAAACACAGAGGCTTTGTTGGATTCTCATTTCCTTAACTATGCAAAATTAAGCATAATCTTTGTTTCTTACCAACAAATATGAGTTTCAAAACTATGGATAGAGCATGAATATGGATTTTCTCCCAAAAAAGTAAAAATTAAAGACTTGAAATTATATATGTCTAATTATATATAATACACGAGGATGGCAACATGCACATCTCAGTCCTCAGTAGGTCAAAGCAAAAATGTAAAAACAAAAACTGCACTGATTCTAATAAATTTAACAAACAAGCATATTGCATGCAGAGTCCCCTGTATTTATTTTCTATGTAGGCCTGCAGAACATACTAATCAACCCAGTGTACAGCAATTGTTACTAATTTAACAGTAAGGAAACTGTCAGTTCAAGCAATAAAATCAGCTCCGCACTTGCGACTTTTGAGTTTTTATAATAGTTGCTATAACAGCAGTGACATTGCTGTTGAACACATTTACACTCATGTACCATAACAGTAATGTAGCCACAAGCCATATGTAACAAAATGGCTTTCTAAAATTAAACATGTATGGGTTGTAATGAGAACCAGGGCAACTGGTAACAAGAAACCTCGACATTACCAAAATGGTGTTGCTATAGAAGCTTGATGGGCTTGCTTGTGTATCTTGTCAGTGTACATACTGTACCTTTTCTACCTGTTGGTGCCGGTGTTTTCTTTTTGCATTGCCCACATGCCTCCATTTGTCACCTGCTGCTGTTTACAGACTTGTGAATACCTCATAAGCCATAATGTGAACCATTAATGTGTTGGCTATGATCTGCTGCACTAACTTTATTATATTAAGACGATGCAGTACTCTAGCACAGAAAACAATACAGCAACACTATAGGTTTAAAAAAAAAAACATCTCTTATGGATAATCACTGAATAGACAATGCTTACCTGCAAAACTGAACTTGATATACACCATATGGGAATTCATACATGCATTTACTTATGCTAATGTTAATGCGGGCACTCACAGTATCAGGATTTAAATTGATAAAACTATTTAATAAAACTACTATTTTTATAATGGCCTTTCCTATGTTATGAGAGAATGTGCACATGAGCTGAATCATAGTGGCAGTTGTTGCAGTGTTCAGTGGGTCAAAGCAAAGACCCCGTGATCTGATATTTATAGTAGACGAGATATAAATAGCTCCAGCATGTGTGGACACCGAGAAGCCCACTGGCTATACTGTTGTTAAAACTACTGAGGGAGCACTACCATTTGACTGAAGGTAACCACCAGACAAAAAAAAATATGCATTTGGAGAAAAAACTAGACTGATTAGTGCAGAGCTTGAAGGTAATTGCTGCTGTAGTAGAGATTAACCTGTTGAACTTGATTTGCGGCTATTGAATGTATTTGATGTTGAATTTCCAGGTTATTTAATAGGACTTTTCTTCATGACATTTCTTCTGCTGCTTAAACAGAGCTGTGAAATGATACCATCAGTCGTTTATAACCTAAACAGTAGTAGTACTTTTCTTTTGGCCATGCTGAAAGACAAATACAACGCATTCTCTGCAGATGTAGGACAAAATAAGATGGCTCATTGGAATCTTTAGATTTAATAAAACTAAACTCATTTTGACATGCAATTCAACAACAGGAATAAGATTACTACTCTTACCTGCTTAGCTACACTGTGCTGTAGTTCACTTTCCCCTTGGTGTGTGAGTTCTCAGGTACCAAATTTCATGAGCTTGTTCACTTTATGTGCTGTGTGTCCCCTGGAGCAACTCCTTGTGCATTTCAGATGAACACAGAGACGGAGGATGACTTTTATCAATCTGAGGACGACTTGGATGAAGATGAGGCAACCCAATATATAATTGAACAAAGTCTGATTGAATATAGAAAACTCAAAGGATTGAATCCAAGGTGAATCTCTAACCACCCAGTATTAACTGTCTCTTTCTGCACATTATGAATCTCTTGTCAATGTCTTTTCATAGTGACCTGAAACCCAGTGAAGATCCTGATGAGATTTTCAAAGCAATCAAGGAGGGTAAGTTGTTGTCAAAGAAATTTCAGATAGTAATAATGAATACAATATCCTGCTGGAAATTATGATACTGTGTCTTTACACACAGGTGATGAGGATGCACTGAACAGACTGGCAGTGCAACCAGAGACTCTGTCAAGAGTTGATGAACGAGGTTGGATCCCCCTGCACGAGGCTGCAGTGCATCAGGATAAAAGGATGCTTGAGATTATATTCTCCGGTAGTAAAGTTATTACGCGCATGACTGTAATATTTCAGCATACAGAATCTTTTCTTTTTAAATTGATTAGTTGTTTGGTGTTTGGGTTCCAGCATCATCCCCCGGTGCAGTCCACTGTCGCACTCTCAAGGGTGAGACGCCACTGTTTCTAGCTGTGGTCCATGGACTCAGAGAGAACGCTACATTCCTGTTACAGAACGGTTGTAGCCCGGATCTCCAGAATGATGAGCAGGATTCTCCATTAGTCGCAGGTATCTGACATTAACTCCATCAGAATGCAAAATGCATCTGATTTTACTGAAACCTGAACATACATTATTTCCTTATTTCCTAATTCTGAATGATATTTTCTCCCTGCTACTCCATATTTCTTATTAGCTATCTTGAATGACCAGTATGACCTGGCCACACTCCTGCTTCGCTACAATGCCAAAGTAGACCACACAGGACAAATGAACAGGACAGCTCTTCATGAGTGTGCCTTTTTAGGCTTGGAGAACTTTGTCTATCTGCTCCTGGAGTCTGGTGCCAACCCAAATGCATGCGACATCAAAAAGAAAACTCCACTGGCTCTGGCTGCACAGAATGGACATTTGAATGTGGTGGAGGTCCTATTACACAAAGGTACATGAAATAAGGCCATTTAATCTCTGCTATGCATTTTGAAAGTATCTGTGTTCCATTAGTTCACTCACCGAGTTGCTCTGAAAACTGGTGGTGGTGGAAAAAGTAAAGGACAAAAAAAAAAACAATTTGCTTTTTGGCTTCTCAGAAAAGTTGAAAAATCATACAAACTGTGGATAACTGTCTGGATTAATTTTCCATACTGTTTTCAGGTCTGGAAATTAAATGTATATTCTTATACTACCTATATTCATTTTGTAGGAGCCCATGTGTGGTGTGAATCAGACTCAGGCACTATTTTGTTTGAAGCAGCAGCATCAGGAAACCCTGATGTAATCTCCTTACTTCTGGACAATGGAGCAGATCCGAACACACCTCTTTACAGTGGGCACCTGCCAATTCACCGTGTGGCATACCACGGACACAGACTGTGAGGAGAATCTCTGACAACATCTAGCTTTCCCACTTTTCAAATAGAGTTTGAACCACTGTCATGTTATTGAACGAGTACTCCTCTTTGACAGGGCACTGGAGCACCTCATCCCAGTGACCAAACTGGACGCTGTAAAGGAAAGTGGCATGAGTCCTCTCCATTCTGCGGCTGCTGGGGGACATGCCCATTGTGTGGAGATCCTGCTCAAAGCTGGCTACGATCCAAACTTCATGCTTCACCCAAGGGTGCGCCGCAGCTATGATGATGAGCGCAGGTCTGCCCTATTTTTTGCTGTGTCCAACAATGATCTTCAGTGCACCCGCTTGCTTTTAGAAGCTGGGGCAATGGTGAACCAGGATCCTATCACCTGTTTGCAGGTGGCTCTTAGACAGGGCAACTATGAACTGATCAACACATTGCTGAAGTTTGGGGCAAATGTAAACTACTACTCCCGTGTCAACACCACTCACTTCCCATCAGCACTGCAGTATGCCTTGAAAGATGAGGTGATGCTGAGAATGATTCTGAACCATGGATATGATGTTAAGCGTTGCTTTGACTGTCCGTATGGCGACAGTTCCCATGGTCCTTGGACGACCTCAGTCATCAAAGACATGGTGGTGAGACCAAGCTTGTCTGAGAGAAAAATGGTATAAAGAATGAAATACAGGGGGAACAGTGGAGTAACACTTTCTTTCAAGGTTTCTCTTTGACTGCCACGTGTCTCTGTTTGTGTCTTTTAGTTCTGTGAGGTGATAACCGTGTCCTGGCTTAAGCACTTATCTGCTCAGGTGGTGCGCATCATGCTCGACTACACCGACCATGTCTCCTTCTGCACTAAACTTAAGGAAACTTTGGAGGAGCAGAAACAGTGGCCAGAGATCTGTCATATTCAAAGTAAGAACTATTATGATCCCTCATATTTTTCACCAGTCAGCAAAAGTGTTTTGATGATTTTATGTGTATTTATTGACTTTATTGACTTTACACTCAGGAAATGTACGGAGTTTGAAGCACCTCTGTCGGTTGCAGATTAGGCAGCATCTCAGTCGTCTGCGCTTGAGATCCCCAGCCTTCATCAACTTCCTTCCTCTTCCTCCCAGGCTGAAAGATTACATACGCTACAAGGAGTTTGATGTTTACAGCAGGGGCAGCATGGTTAACCCCATGTGAAAACACATTTACAGATGTCACAGATAGAGGGACAAAGACAGTCACTCATTTGCATTGTTATTGTATGTTTATGTACATGTACATGTTTTATGTAGCCTACTTTGAGCCTTGACTTATTTATTGTTATTTGTATAAACCTGTATGTACTTTAGGGTTCTATCAATAGCTGCAGTGATATGTCAGTCTTGTGTAAAGATTTACTCTGTTATAGTGGCTCCTCTGGTTAAATGGGTCCTTAAAAAAACATTTTGAAAATAAATACAAATGGTGTGTTGTTATTATTATTATTATTATTATTATTATACACTCAGTCTTATTTTAATGATTACATTTTAGAATGTGAATACAGCAAATTGCAACAAAAAAAAAACATTGATTGATTGATTGATTATATGAAAAAAATTAATGAACAAGAATATTTAAAAATGCATAATTCTTTAGCCTTTCTTATGACAAATCTTTGTCTTCACCTGGTGGTAGAATGAAGTATTGCAGCGGTGGGATCTCCATTTGCTTTACAGTGTGTGTATGACTTGTCAGCTCCTTGCCATCTCAGTGTGTGGAGTAAATGTGTCCTGTGGTGAAATTGGCCTTAAACAGGTGTTATAAAAGTAAAAGTGATGCATAGTGGTGTAAAAATAATATGTTAAATATAGAGTAATGATATACAATCAGGGCATTTTTTACATGACTGCATCCTACATCCATGTCATATCCTATGGTCACATCCCATCACTACATCAGTTCAGTATCTGTCTCCGCCGCTGGGTGGCGCGGATTCTCTCGTATGTAAACATAGTGACGGCAGCGTTTTGCAGTGGTGGAGAAGAACGTGTACGTCATTTTCACAATGGCGGAGGCTGGGTGAGGAGGAGAGTGTGTGTGAAGCGGCGCCGTAATCGTTACAGCTACATTGCCCGTAAGACGTGCACGGTGCCCGAAAATGGCCCTGAACCCCAGCGCGGTGGGGAAAAAGGACACAGAATGTACCGAGACGGGCGAACTCCACCCCGACGGTGGCGAACCCCAGAAGAATTCAGCCGCCACCTCGGCCACAGCCAACCAAAATGGCGATCAGGCTGGATGTGGAGACAGTGTAATGCCCGAACAAGAAGCCCCTGAACGGCGGAGGAGCGCGCAGACGGACGCCCGGAGCTTTAGCAGCTCTCCCTTGACGGGCCAGAGACCGAACGAAGAGCTGCCACGGAGAAATTTTCAAATTCCGAGGAAGATAAGAGAACGGAAAGGTGGTGCCATATCGCTGCTATTTTGAACAGAGCCTGCACTGTCTTTCATAATTCTGCTGCTGCATGTTGCTAGCCTGCTAACTAGCTGGCTGGTCTGGCTAGTTTGATAGAGTTTAACAAAATGTTCACCGATATTTTAGGTTTGAGTTAGATCAGCATCATGTGGTGTAAGCACACGGATAGTCTCGATGGATGTAGTGTGAGTTGTTTTAGCAGACACAGCTTTGGTAGCTGGGCTCAGGTATCCAAGTTACCAGTGAGCAGCAGGCAACTACGTTGCTGTGAAGGCGCCTAAAAGCGGCACTTTTGAGGACTGCCCGTTTGAAAGCACACCTTGTTCGCTTTCTTCACCTTTTTATGGGTCCGTGGTCTGGTTGAATAATGCTGCTGGAGTTATGTGTGTGTAGCAGCCATCACTTGACAACATGTGAGTGTCTCATTGACCTCAGTGAAGGGCATGGATTTCTCCACCCCACCCGTCTATGTGAAACGTTTTCACTATACCATGACATTTTTAATGCCATCTAAGTAGGGATGCCCACCCCTTGTCCCAGCTCGATGTCACTGGTATTACAGAGCACCTCACTTCAGTACCCCACAGCATAACCCCATGAACCCTCCTGCACTTGCCCCCTTCTTTCAGAGAGATAGAAGTACCCTTAGCAAAGTGCTAAATGCACAGTGGTTGTCACAAAGTATGCTATTAAACATCAGTTATATGTGTATATAAGCAAAGCTGAGATGAAGTCGGTGGATTTATCACTTTGAGCCTTTTATAAGCAGCTGTGCTTGCAGTATGTGGCCAGCTTTACCACCAGCAGTTTGCAAATGTAATGTATAAAATGTCTTATACATTCCATTGTTATGCTGTTAAGTTGGAAACTAAACAGCTGTGAGACAGGCTTGGCTGTGCGTGCAGTCTGTTGGCCTGTCTCCAGTCTTCATCCTTTTGCCTCACGTGAGAGATGTTTACTTTGTGTTGCCCCACAACTTGAGGCTGGTGATGGCCTATCCAGGTAGCCTGTCATGGTGGTTTCACTTCTTTGCATGTGTTTTGATTGACATGATAAACCTGATGTAAATAAAGGCAGATGCAAGGCTTGGTCACCTGTACAGCGGTTAGTTGATGCAAGGGACTCCTGGTTGCTATTGTTGATCAGTGTTTTTCCAATCCTAAAAACTTGTCCTTTCCCAAAGAACATTTCAGTAACCTGCTGTGATGAGCTGTCTGTAGCAGATGAGAAATAAGTTTGGCACAGAATGCTGCTGGTACATTGCAACTTCACTGAACTGTAAACACACTGTAATTTTCTTGCCTGCAAGCACTTAGTTCACATCACTTCCTCCTGTACCTGATGTCTTTTATACAAGAGCATGTGACTCCGATGTTGAGGTAGGCAAATTCTGAACGCAGGACATGTGTATCATCTTTCTGTGAAAGAAAAGACCATATATTGTAGACTTGCTATCTTTAAACTAAATTACCTTTATAAATGAGGGAAGAGCTTGATGATCAGTCCGACGTGGCTGTCTGCTACAAGTTAACTTTGCACATGCGCACACGTTTTTGCTGCAGATACTATATACTAATCCACCGATTTACCTCTGTGTGCAGGCTTGTACCAGTTTCTGCCCCCCGACAGCCGGGAGTTTGAGGACCTTGTGAAGATTATCTCCTCGTTTTACTTGGACGCATCATCGCGAGGAACCTTCTCCTACTGCAAGGCCCGGCTCATTCACAATGAGCTGCTGGAGAAAGAGGTTGGTCATTGTCTTCATATACACCACAGTGTCAGCATGAGCTCTTTCAGTTGCTCCCTTTTTATTCATGGAATCTTTTTGTAGGTTGAAACAAAATATAGCAAAATCATAATTAGCTGTCATCACGGCTGCTCTTGTAGCTCATGTGAAAAGAAAAGAAAAGAGCACACGCTGAGGGCAGGCTGTTGTAAAATAGTTTCAGCAAGTGGTCTTCCAATTTACACATCCTACCACCTTCATGCATGTAAGTGCTAAGACTTTGTGAGGTCCAGACTGCTGTATCTCATTCACTGTCTACTCCCTTTGTGTGCCAGTTCATTGAGAAGCGGCGAGAGATGAAGCAGGAGGGGCGGACCGAACAAGAACTGACGGAGTCGTACTGCTTCCTTTATCCGGACAAATCCAAGGTTAGCCTGTCTGCAAAGCCTTACTCAACTCACATCGAAGATGATGGACAAGTTATGAAGTGGGATTTTTTAACATGATTCTGAGCTTTGTTTGTTCTCTTGTGTGTCTAGCTCCAGTGGATATGCGAGAAGGGTCTGTCTGTTGGACACTCCAGGATTACTACACTAGGAAATCCGTCAGTGGGTAAGTTGGTCTCTTGCATGTTGCTGTTGAATTCAGAGTAGACTCTGAATAGACGTAGATTGAAGGATGTTTTTTTTGATTACTGCTGTCATGATGATGCTTTGAGTTTTGCCAGCCTGATTACTTTCCTCTTCTTCATGGGATCAAATTTGAAACTACTAAAATCTTTCTTATGTATCTGCATCTGAGGATGTTTGATTAGTATTTCTACCTGAAGAAATTACAGCTGAAGCCAGCACCAGCATGGCTTATCAACAGCCGAGAATGACTCTGACTATGCAACATTATACAAGTTAAATGTTTTTTTCACAACTGAATGCCTACTCAAGGAAAAAACACTTTATCTGGATTGTTTCTCGAAAATATCAACAACAATTAACTAGTAATTGACAATCTTTCCTGATTTGATTTTAAGAGTGTGAATATCACACCTAAATGCTTTTTGATGAAGTATAATCTTGGTGCTTTTCCTCTAATTCAGCTATTTTGTCATTGTAGGTGTTTATCTCTCCAAATATTCAGATTTGTTACAAATCAATCCTTTTGAAGTGGGCTCGTTTGGAGACATGATCGTTTTTAAAGTTATGAGGGTATGGCTACCATTTTATTTTCATTCTGTGATATTGACAGATTTTTGATTCTCGTGGGACTTGAAGCCAGCTTGTCTGTTTTGTCTTTCAGGGCCGAATAAAGCACATCCATGAGAACATGCCTAAGAATGCAATGGAGCCCACACCCAAGTTCGACTGTCACTTATCCAAAAGTGCCAATAGGGTTACGTCTTTGCTGTCTTACAGGGCTTTCGAGCTCACGCAGGTAAACACTGGATCTATTTCATTCACACATGGTATTTTATAAACAGTAAGTAATGTTTTTAAGTTCTATAGTTTGTTTGTTTCTCTCACTATCTTTTAGCAATATTTTTTTGAGTTTGCATTCGATGAAATCAAGCCACGGCCCAGGCACATCTGCCCCTACGCTGTGGTTTCCTTTCAGTACAAAGGCAAGGAGGCTGCTGCAGCTCCTATGACTGCACACAGGTACGTATTCCTGCAGGAAATGGTGAAACCCAACAAGCATTTTCAGGCGGTTGATGATGTTGGCAAGACATACATCTCTGCTGTGTTTTGTGTTTATAAACAAGCTTTTTGTTTCTCTCCTTAACAGGTTTAACACTATTTCCCCTGAAGGAAGTAGAGGTAAAACATATTTTAATCTTATATATTTAATAGATATGTAAAAAAACAAAAAAGAAGTTTCTGTGTGTTAAATTAGTGTCATGTCTGTGTAAACTGGAATATGCATAAAGGCAATCAGTAACGCAATGTTACTTCTTTAGCTCGACTTTGACTAGCATTCTCACAGCTAGTCAGTTAAAGAAGAGGCTGCACCCCCAAAATTATCCAAATCAGATTCAACAACTAGTGCAAACAAAATTCTAAAGAAGAGTATATGTCACAAAGTGTTATGAGCCATCCTTTCATCTGACCTTTGACTTGTGCTGTCGATGATTTTGCAGGGAAGAACTGCTACACTGTGTGGAGTGGTCCACTAGTCAACAAGGGCCAGGAGTTATTCCCAATCTGTTTACGATCCTCCTCGCGCCCCTACCTTCCTTTCAAAC